GAGCAAATTAAAGAGAATTAGTGAAATCAAGTTTGCCAATCAAAATATAGTATACCTTATTTAATCACGTTTTTAAAAATTGAAATAGTTCATTTTGTTTCCTTTTTGAAACAATGAAAACATAGTTTTATTGGCATTTTTATAGAATCTGAACATTCACAAAGCCAAATGCATCCTTCTGGATGAGGAACAATTGATGATTTCATATTTCTTCCTTCTCTATGACTTATTGTTTTACGAGAAACTTTTGTAAATGGCTTTCATTTTCAATATTGCACAATATCGCACAGATCATAGTATATGATATTTGTCATTTAAGAAAATGATACAGCATGCTATAAATCAACCATAAAAATAGTCAAATTTGAAATGATAGCAATATTCTGTGTAAACTTGTTTTTTCATATGATACATATGCATTACTTTTGGTTTATGATAAATTTGTAACTTGCGTTCTATATTTGAATTAGTAATTTCAGAAATATTCAGCAAATTAATAAAATGTTAAAATTCATCAAATCTCGAAAGTGGGATTTGTTTTTTTTTGTCTAATACAATTGAATTTACCTCGCATAAACAGTAAAATTATGTGAAATTAGTCATCTTTATAATACAATAAAAGCTTTGCCTTAACTTATGGTAAGGTTAATTGTTAAGTCTCATCACACTTTTCAATGCTCGATTTTTAAAAACTGTTTAAAAATGGAGCTTATATTGAAATAGTGTAGAGACTAAAAATTACCACAGACTATTTCAGAGGATTGAGTTGCCACTCAATCCTCTGAAAAGTCTGAGGTAATTTGCAAAATTTTATAACAAGTAAATGTAAGGGATGTAAAAGATAGAATATATTGACCCTGATAGTTCATAATTCTCAAAAGGAAAAAAAGGTCATGAGAAAATTGGAGGAAATGGTATCTAAAGATAGATGTGAACTTTTAAAATTAATTTAGAAAATTGCAGATTTTCTTCAGAAATAAAAATTGTGAAAATTCAAAAGAACAAAAAATAAGGTAATTATATTGTAGAGAATTAGATGATTATTTTTGAATTCAAAAGAGGATTTTATGAATTTTTATAAGTCTGACCAAATTAAATTATTAATATATGAATAGTAAAAATATCGGGTTAAAGAAGCAAAAAAGTTGAAAGCAGAATTGGATTGAAAGAAATGAAGGTTTAATTTAAAATAATAATATTATGTATAACATTATGATACTATGAATGTAAAAAAACGCAAATATCGTAAAAAGAAGTACGTTATATTGAAAAGTTATATTACTTAATTTTAACAATTGTTAAGGTCAGGTAGGTGGGGCGTCCAGGCGCGTTGCGCCCTCTAGCCCATAAGAAATTTTGCCCAAGACCCAAGAGGAGGACCGAACCCCAGCCGACCAGCCGGTGACAAAACCAAAACCGTTGTTATTTACATCATATTAATGGTGTCACTTTTTTAAATGTCACTTTTGTGTCGCTTTTCACAAATTATATATGTTTTCATGTTTTGTCACTTTTCTGTCACTTTTCAGGGAAAAACATTTTTATTATTATATATAAATGAATTTTACAAAACCACCGTTACCGTTCTTTGGAAATAAGAGTAGATGTAAAGATATTATATTGAGAGAACTTAAGAAACTACCGAATGGTCTAACATTTGTAGATTTGTTCGGTGGAAGTTTCTATATATCCATTTATGTCATACAATATTCCCAGACTCAAAGATTATATGCAATGACTTCGACAACTATATGGACCGTCTCAAACATATTCCAGACACAAACAATATATTGAAAGAGTTAAAAGAAAGAATACCTATAGGTAAGATGGAACGTATACCATTAGATAAGAAAAATATTGTGAGAAAGGTTTTGAAAAAAGCAGAATATATAGACTGGGATAGTATATCTGCTAGACTATTATATAGTGGTGCTATAAGAGTTCATGACATTGAAACACTTATGTCAAAAGTTTTATATCTTAACTATACAAATGTTTTCAAAGAGGACATAGAAAAATATATTGAGGGTATAGAGTTTGTGAGATGTCATTGGACAGAGTTGTATGAAAAATATAAAGACAAGGAAAATGTTTTCTTTATAGTGGACCCGCCGTTCTATAACACATGGGATTTTCAATACCAAGTAGACTGGACTTTGAGAGACTCTTTAGAAACTTTAGACGTTATACATAACCATCCATGCTTTTACTTTACATCCGATAAAAGTGGTTTGGAAACCGTTATGAGATGGTTAGAGGCATACATGACTATGAGTTTATATATGACAAGATAGAATATGAGAGAGGTTCATAAAACCGGAGAAAGTGTCACAATAAAGAAATTTATTAGTAAGTAAATGTGGTTTGAAATAGAACTACTTGTTTTAGGTTTTTTCCATTGTGTCATTTATTTATTTGACGTGGCAGAAAAGTACAGAGAATATGAAGATGAACCAATGCCTGCAAATGTTCAGCATATGTACTCGTAAGAGATATTTTTATCTAATATTAAATGGACGCACAGAACTTAGCGAATGCCAGCAACCTGGACAACCAAACCCAGAGAATATTCCAAATGAAGTTAGAATACAAACTGCAATGGCAAACTATGGTCAAGTGCCAACAGATGTAAAAATGCAAACTGCCATGTCAAATGACGCTGCGTTAGGTTTGCCACCATGGTATGCAAATATGAGATGGAAAGAGTTTTATACAAACCCTGAAGTGGGATATAAACAACTTTATGCAGATGACGCGAACACAGGAGTTGACCCAGAATATGTTTTCTACCAGAGGAGAAACAGAATGTATGAGCTCCAGTTAAAGAATGCTATGGAACTCAACAGGAAACGCAAAAGACTAGGCGGACATTAGATTTTTACATATAGTAAAATGGGTTTCTTCAGTAAGATAGGAAACTTCTTTCGAAATGTTGGAAGAGGTATATGGAATGGAATAAAATCTGTCGGAAGAGGAGTATGGAACGGTGTCAAAAATATTGGTAAAAGAGTAGGTCGGTTTGTTGGTATTATACCTAAAGACCCCGAACCAGAAGAACAAGCTCCTGTTATACAACAGCCTGAACCTGCACCACAGTCAAGTTGGCAACCACAACCGGTATATTAAAAAATTATATTTTTACCGTTCGATAGTAGTTGTATATGAAACTAAGTTCTAAGTAAAACGCATGGTATAATGGAATTATTCTTTTTCTTCCATCTTGTAGTAAACCATACTTGAAAGTCTGAAATACTTCCACTTGGTGGTTCGTATAACTTTGTAGGTTTTTTCGTAAAAGTCATTTGCCAAGCATAAGAAAGAGTTTTGGGCGCCAGAAATGAAGCATGAACTATCACAGCATCTTGGTCGAAAACATCTTTAAATAAATATGGTTCATCTCTTGCATATCGACAGTAGATATTTGCTAAAGAGGTTCAACTTTCTGATTTAACATTCTTTGCAAATAATACCATGACATTGCAGTGAATTCTGTATATATTTGTTCGTCTTTCTTTGGATTGTCTTCGTAGATTTGAAATGACACTTGTGAATTTTGTTTGTCATATACAATTCTCACATAAAGTGTGCTATCGGTATTCGCATATTCATCAGCATATTTTGCATAACATGAATTTATTTTATCTTCTATATTTTTTAATGCAGCCTGTAGAGAAGATGAGAGGTCAACTTGTATTAGCTCAATTTCTTCCCACATTTTTCGTTGCCCTTCAGATGTATAATCTATATGAAACCTTACAATAAATGGAAAACTTTTATCTTCTACAGACACAAACTTTATTCTTCGAAAGCCAATAGCTTTTGTGACAGATGGGTCTCTTAACCATCTTAATGGGTAGTCAAAACGATAGCCTTCATGCTTTACGGTCTCTGTCTCAAACTTTTGACCGACATTAGTAAAAAGTTCATCTAATGGTTTAGTTGTAGCAACTCTAGAATTTTCTTTTTCTATTGGAAGCATATTTTATCTATAAAAAAATGTCAAATGAAACAGCGTCTATGAGAGAAATACAACACAACCGACAACTCATTATGCAAGCTCTAAATAAGAACACAACAAACTTTCAAACTATTCTAAGATATCTGAGTCATTGAAAGGGGGTGACTTAAAACTGACAATAAACCCAATGACAGATGAGTTTCTGTTTCAAGACAATAAGAACCATACTGTCTGTATAAATCCAACAAAAGGAACTTTAAACGAGAAACCTATAAATGAACTTTCTTTGAAAGCAGATGTTGACAACAAAGCTGACAAAGAATATGTAGACGATGCAATAGCAAAAGAAGAAGAAAGAGCTAACAATGCTTATGCAACAAAAGAACATACTCATCCTGAACTAGCAGACAAAACATATGTTGACAATAAAATGTCAAGTGAAGTGACAAGAGCTGAAAACGAATATTCTAAAAAGACTCATATACATTATATTAACCAAATACCAAGTCTTAAGGATGGGCACTCATAGGCTCCTGACAGCATAAAAATGTTATTATCTCACAATATAAAAGGAATCATAGGAATCTACAACTATATCTATATTGTTGGAAGACTTCTTAATGTATCATGCATATAAGTTATATCAATAACTCCATTATGTTATATGATTGTAATCATATTTTCGTTTCATGTTCAAAAACATTAAAATCATAACTAACTATATGAGTATTATATTTAGGAAGCTGATATATAGATATGATAAAATGCTAGGTTTTGTACACAATGACGACTAAAGCCTGTTTTGCTCTTTTGACACCAGAAGACTTTGTTGTTGTGAATGGTAAAAAATACTTCTTTGAAGATACTTACTCAGATATACCACCAACAGGTTTTGTTGACTTATTTAATACTTTAAGGACGGATGTAACATTGCTGCAACTAGAGCAGGTTTCATTATGTTTGGATGTCCGACTGAGTTTACTATAAAACGATATGAGCTATAATACAAAACTTATTTCTGGTTTTTACTACCAACAGTTTCCTATAACAGGAAAAGGTGTCATACAAGGAATGTCTATTCCATTGACATTAAGCACACCAATCTTATATATTGTTTCAAACTTAGGTTCAAAGTGTTATTCGAATGTCGACAGAAACTATTATGACCAAAAGATACTTATGCGTATAAACAATACTTTCTCTGCTGGTTTGCCTATTGTTCATTCGAATGCAGAATTTTCAACCTTAGTGAACTCAAACACTTTGGCAAGTATAACGTTGACATTAGTTGACGCAAACTTTGTTCCTGTAAAACTTTTATGTCCTATGTATTTGTCAATGACGGCAGAAAGTTTCGAATTGGAAGATGCAACTGGTGAAAGTATTGTATTACAAGAACAACTTCAACAACAAATAGCTCAAGAACAACAAATGCAACAAATGGAACAACAAAGTCAAGAATAAAAAAAATATTTTTTTTATTTTTATAAAAATGTACAGAATAGATGTTTCAGATTTTTATGACTTCCAAGCATTCAGAAATATGTGTCCATTTCGAGACTATAACAATGCAGTCGAGAATTTGAAACGTTTAGTCATTTATGTTGACTCTGCCCCAGAATGTTATGTCATGAAAGAATGGGATGTTGTCTTTAACAAACCAAGAGCAACAATAGTGTCTGAACAAGAATGTAGACAGAAACTTAAAAAATAAAAGTCGTACAAGTTGGCATGAAGATGTTAGATGCTTGGGATATCTTATTGTCAAAGTTAGAAGATTTTTCAGTTCGAGGTATAAAGTTCTATACACCTTCTCCAAACTTCTATTCTATCTTCACTGGATATAAATACGAACAAGTAGAATGGAAAGAAAATATTATAGAAGCTTGGTTAGACCATGTCAAAGAAATTATATGCAATGGAAACGAAAGAGTCTATGAGTATATCTTATGTTGGTTTGCAAACATCTTACAACATCCAAGTGCTAAAAATGAAACTGCTCTCATTATAATTGGAAAACAAGGAACAGGTAAGAACACATTCTTTACAGATATTTTGTGCAAACTGTTAGAGGGCTATTCGAACCCTAATATGACAAACTTAGAAAACATCTGTGGCAAGTTTAACTCCTCAATAGAGAATATGAAACTTATAGTATGTAACGAACTTCAAAGTATAGATACAACAAAAGTTTTTGAACTCAGATGCTTTGAAGAGTCTTATAACAGACAAAGTTGGAGTTGTTGAAAGAAAATATAAAGACCAAAGAGTTTGTGAAAATGTTGCAAACTTCATTATGGTTTCAAACAATACTGTTCCGATGAAGTTAGAAAAGTTCTGACAGAAGATATGTAGTTGTCAGAACGTCAGATTCTCATATGCAAGATACAGAATATTTTGACGACTTAGCAGAAACTTTGACATCTGACTTTACAACCACTTGTTCTCATATTTCATGACATTAGATATTTCTAAGTTCAATCCAAGACAAATTCCACATACCGAAGAGAGACAAACATTGTTAGAAGCAAACAAGAGTGTATATGAACTGTTCATAGATGAAACTGACTTTGTGTCATTAGATGAAAGGTCATTGTACGATTCGTATAAACAATATTGTCAAGAATATGGTTATATGGCAGCTTCTAAACGTACATTCTTGGCAAATGTCAAAAGTCTTTTAGATGTTCAGAATGGTGTATATACAAAGAAAAATTTTTCTGAGTAAATTTAAAAAAAAATCTTTTTTTATCCGATAGAAAAGATGACGAAATATATTTCAGTAAACAAGTACATGTCAGGACTTAAAGAAGAACTAGACCCATTCACATATTTGAATGTTTACTTCTACCATTTTGAAAAGTCTACATTTGACAAAGTTTGGAACATCGAACCAGTTAAGTTTGCTATTGTGACTAAAAATGGTGCGAAATTTGAAGACTTAGACATAGAAGGTTTGTTAGCAGTCAAAGAAAATTTTGACAGAAGGTTTTCAAACCTTAAAGAAGGCAAAGCATACAAACTTGTTATACCTTATGAACCAAAGAAAGCAGACGACTATGAATATTATGAGTCTAAGATAGTTGAAGTTCAAGGTAAATTGGGTAAAAAGATTTTAGAGTCTAAACCAGTGTTTGCTCCTAAAGAGGAAGAGAACATTGACATTGACCCAGAAATGTTCTAAAAATAAAATTTTATTTTTACATGTCAAATTTCTTTTTCTCTGGCTCTGGCTCTGGCTCTTTCTTCTCTTCTTCTACTTTCTTTTCTTTCTTCTCTCTCTTCTTCTTCTTCTCTGGTGGAGTTATGTCAAACTTCTCAGAACCATATTTTTGTAAAAGGTCTTTGTCCTTTAATAGCTCTTCTATTCTGTTTTCTATTTCATCTTCAAGAACAGCGCATGTGTCTTCTTTGCATTCTAAGAACTTTTGTTGGACTTCATCTTTCCAATCGGCGTCATCTCTGTCAACAAGTCTGTCATTGACAAACTTAAAGACTTCTCTGCTTAATGTTTTATGGTTCTTGTCATATTCCCAGAAACAGAACTTTAGAACAAATTCCCCTTTCTTGTTTACACTATGTAAGATTTTATGGTCGACAGATGTTTTGCTGTCGAAAAGCTTGTCTCGAATATAGATAGCGAAATCGCTAGACATTTCCTAAAAGATAAAATTTTTAATTTTTCTAAAAATATGTTAGAAAAAAAGTTTGCTGACATTGACAAAAAATTTGAGAATGTTTTAAATAAGAACAAGAGGAAGTTGGAAAATGCTCAGATAAAACCCATACATGACAAGTTCTTATTTGCTCAGAATGGTATAACAGGTCTAATTGCACCACCTGGGTCGGGTAAGACTTTCACTTATCTTAAAATGGCTGCACAACAACAAGAACTAGATGAGAAGAACCCATTCTATGAGTTAGTTGTTATTTGTAGTACTTCTGGTCAATTTGACCAAACCGTCAATTCGTTCAAAGATATTATAAAGAAGTCTAAGTTAGTATGTATAAAGGATACTGAGTTGTTAGATTGGATAAAGAAGTACCAAAGAAGAGTTTTGAAGTATAATGCTATAAATGAGTATATAAATTCTAAGTTTAAAGACCCAAATGAGGAAATGCAGAGAATATTAGAGAAGAAACACTTCAGAAACAAACAGAAAGAGATAGAATACATTTCGAAGAAATTGCAATCTTACGATTGGAAGACATACCCTCATAGATGTCTTCTTATCTTAGATGACTTTGCTTCTCATCCTTTGTTAAAGAACAGAGAACAAGACATGTGTCGAATTCTTAAGAAGCTCAGACACTTTAACATCTCAGTTGTCATTTGTGTACAGACAGCAAAGAGTTTAAGTAAGGATGTAAAGAGAATACTGACTGACATTGTACTTTTCCCCGGATTGTCCGAAGACGATTTCATGGAACTTATGAAAGAGTCCATGGCAGGTAAGTTTGACAGACATGAACTATGGAGAAGTACAAAGTCATACAAGACCCTCATACTTCTTTCAGAATTCATATCTACGCGAACAAAGTTCAAATTGTAAAAAGTCAAGCGTAAAAATGTAAGTGTTTAGTCTTAGTCTGTTGTGGTTCTGCAGCTTTCGGTTCTTCTGGCTTTGGAATGGACTCGGTTGGTGGTACGTCGGACATTCGTTTGTGTCCTGTCGGAAGGAAGAACTTTTCCTGTTGGAAGGAAGAACTTTTCCTGTCGGAAGGAAAAATTTTTTCTGTTGGAAGGAAAAACTTTTCCTGAAGTTCGACCAAAAAGTTCTCAATTTTCGAAAATTTGAATGGTTTACGGACGGACAACTGGAAAATTTTTTCCTGTCGTCGGGAAAAATTTTTTCTGTCGGAAGGAAGAACTTTTCTTGTCGTCGGGAAAATTTTTTTCTGTTGGAAGGAAGGACTCGGAATGCCAGAAGGATTTGACAAGGCAATTTACCTAATTGAGCTACTTGAGCCATCTGAAGTCAAGCGTAAAAATAAATGGTTCATCTACCCTACTTGTTTGAAGTTGTCAAAATACTCTGTTATTTTTTCCTTTAACAATGGCAAATCTTCTTTGAAGGTAAGAATTGTACAACCTTTAATATCATAGTGTGTTTGAGGTAAAGTATCTTGAACTATTTGTTTCACATCTTCATTCGGTGTCATTGAAATCGGTAAGTTTTCGCGATAGAACCAATTTCTGTCAGATTTGTAAATCTTAGCAAGGTCGTAAAAGCTTTTGTTGTTTCTTCTGACTAAATGCAACATAACCATATCTCTGTCTTCTTCATTTTCCATCTCTTCAGTATAAATCATATACTTATAGTTCTTTTCCTTTCCTTTTGGTACCGAACGTGGTATTCTTTTCTGTATGTTTTTGTCTTCTTTCATCATATCTTCTCTCTGCTTTGTACAAAGTTCGTCAAGTAGCATAAGTATGTAGATTGCATAACGAGGTGAAGCCCACATTGCTATTGAACTAACTAGGAACTTATGAACATATATACCTTTTAGATGTGATGGTAAGTTTTGTCTGTCTTGGTACATCTTTTTAAGTTCTACATGTTCAAACTCACTGAGGAGTTCATGAGTGCTATTTAATTCAAACCAATCTTGTGGTTTCATAGTATCTGGAGCAAAACATGCTGTCAAAATACTTTGCATTTGGTACATATCGTCTTTGACCGAACGAATGAGACGGAGTTGTTTGTTAAACTGAACCCACTCATATTCTTCATTTATAGCTTCATGGACTATAACTGTTGTTGTGTTCTCTGTTGTTGACATATCTGTCTTTACATACAAAATAAAAAAATAAATAAAAATAAAACTAACTTTATTTTTTTAAAGTTTGGTCATCCTTCACGGTATGACAAATATACTATATTTTACTTAAAAATATGTAAGCGGCTCATAGCTCAGTGGTATGGGCTACCTCGTTAAAGGCGTCGAAGACCTCGGTTCAAATCCCGATTCGCGCAGGTTTTTTCCTTTTATGCAGTGAAATTTCATGTACATAGGTTACTTTGGTGTTAGACCCTAGTGAAGAAAATAGAACGATAGGAGTTTACATTTGTAAAGTTGGACGATAAAAATCTCTGCTACTAGCAGTACTGCTACTGACAGGAAAAGTCCTTCCATCAGACAGGAAAAGTTCTTCCATCAGACAGGAAAAGTCCTTCCATCAGACAGGAAAAGTTCTTCCTTCCGACAGGAAAAGTTCTTCCTTCCGACAGGAAAAGTTCTTCCTTCCGACAGGAAAAGTTCTTCCAGTTGTCCGTCCGTAAACCATTCAAATTTTCGAAAATTGAGAACTTTTCCTGTCGAACTTCAGGAAAAGTTCTTCCTTCCGACAGAAAAAGTTCTTCCTTCCGACAGGACACAAACGGATGTCCGACAGGAAAAGTTCTTCCTTCCGACAGGACACAAACGGATGTCCGACAGGAAAAGTTCTTCCTTCCGACAGGACACAAACGGATGTCCGACGGTTAAGCCACAGACGAATGTCCGACGTCCCACCAACCGAGTCCAATCTCAAACCAGAGGAACCTAAAGCACCAGCCCCTGCACCTCAGTTCCAGCAATTCCAATCTCAATCCAAATTACTACCAATTCCAATACAAATCGAAGAAGGTCTGAACCGCTTACGCAAAGAGTATGCTACAGCTCCAATTGAGAGAAAGTTGTTGCTAAATTCAGTAAAAATAATGTTTAGGGTAGAAGGGTAGCTCTACCCTGTTTTCTACCCTCTTTTCTACCCTCTTGAATTTTCATGAATTTCATCGTAGAAAACTCTTGAAAACAATTTATTTTTAAAACAATATATTTTTTTTATTTTATTTGAAATGTACGCTGAGTTTGTTGGAGAAGACCGTTGGGAAACTTGTTTGTTAGATGAGAAATATGAAATTCACTGTTGTGAGTCATTTGAAGTCAGAAACAAAAAGACAAAAAGAGTTTTAAGCGAATGGGAGCGAAATGACGGATATGCTGATATGAAGATGGGTGGAAAACACTATCTTAAACATGTTGTCATTGCAACTCATTTTATACTGAATCCTAACAATTTACCTTTTGCAGACCATATAAACCATATAAGAAACGACAATAGACTTGAAAACTTACGTTGGGTCACTTATTCTGAAAACAATAAGAACAAAAGCAAATTTCGAGATATTGTATTCGAATTTGTCGACGAACTAGAAGATGAAACAATTGAAATTACAGACTATGGCAAGCATACGTTGGAGTTTTACTACTATAGCGAAGAACAAGACTCTTTCTACTTTTATACCGGCGTAAACTATAGGAAATTACAAGTATATTTTACTAAGGCGGGCTATGCTTATGTAAACACTATAGATACAGATGGAAAATACGTTCGAATACTTCTTAACAAATTCAAGAAGCTATATGGCATACCATTTTAAAACAATATATTTTTACATATATTAAATGCTTCAGGTTGAAAGAATACGGTGGAGCCAAAAGTGGCTCGACCTCAAAACAAGCATTTTATGAGCTTACAAAGGGTGTTATGAATGAATTCAGCAACATACATCCTGACCTCGTTCATTTTGTTGCTGAATTCAGCAAAAATAATGTTTAGGGTAGATGGGTATATCTAACCTCTTTTCTAACCTCTTTTCTACCCTCTTGAATTTTCATGAATTTTCATGATTTCATCGTATATGTTTTGTCAAGACTTCTTCGTACATGTTTTGTCAAGACTTCTTCGTACATGTTTTGTCGAAACTTCTTCGTAAATGTTTTGTCAAGACTTCTTCATCGTAATGAGCGTAAATGACCAAAAAATATAATTTAGGGTAGATGGGTATATCTAACCTGTTTTCTAACCTCATTTCTACCCTCATGAATTTTCACGAATTTCATCGTAAATGTTTTGTCAAGACTTCTTCGTAAATGTTTTGTCATGATTTCATCGTATATGTTTTGTCATGATTTCATCGTATATGTTTTGTCAAGACTTCTTCGTACATGTTTTGTCAAGACTTCTTCGTATATGTTTTGTCAAGACTTCTTCATCGTAATGAGCGTAAATGACCAAAAAATATATTTTAGGGTAGATGGGTATATCTAACCTGTTTTCTAACCTCATTTCTACCCCAGTTATTTTATAAGCGTTTTACATGGTAAACATTGTGAATTCGTGAAATTCTAAACAATTTCGTAGCTTCTATTTCTTCTGTCAGTACATCGAATGTTTTAACAATGCCGAAGGTTTCTTTATATTTCTTCTTGACATCTGAAAGAAGGAAATCGTCAGCTGTTGGATAGTTTTTGTTTAGAAATGTCAACATGTCCATTTTATCTTCTGCTGGTTTCTCTGCTTCTTTCTTTAAGTCAGCATAGTCGTTTCTCATACGTTCTATCTCTTTGACGGAGTAGTTATATTTCCTCATTGCTGCTTTACATTTAGAACATTGCGGGTTCATTTTTGCGTTATATTCTGAAACCTTACCTGCTAGTATGACTAAGGCGTCAATTGCTCTCTTTAACTCAAAAGTTGCGGGTTTTATCTGTTCATTCCATATCTTACCTCTTCTATCTTTATCTCTTATCTGCCATACACATTCAGCAACTAACGAAACAAAGTTGTCGTAGGTCTTAAACTCCCCAGATTTATATATGTCAGAGATGTTCTTATATACCATGTCGCAGTCTTTGTCCATGACTTTGTGGTTGCAATGAAATCCAAGAAACTCATAGTTAACCTTTCGTATGAACTTCTTTATTTCTACTGAGTCAGTTGCTTTGACTTCTATTTCATCGAATTCTGGAATAGTAAGCTTTTGTTGTTGGATTTCAGGCAATTTGGGTAAATGGTCAATAATATCCTGCATTTCATAAAGATATTCTTCATCTGTTTCATCTTTTGCAGTGCAATCTAAATCTCCTTGGAGAAGTTCTTGCTTTATCTTCTGGATTTCTGTTTCGAAAGTATATGAAGAAGGAATGAAGCTTTTCATCTCTACTAACATTGAAGTTGGGTTCATGACTAACGAGTTTGGTGCTGTTGTTGCTAACATGTTCTTACAATAAAAATAAAAAATATTTTTTTAAAAAAACTAACTTTATTTTTTATTTCGGGAAAATTCATGAAAATTCAAGAGGGTAGAAAAGAGGGTAGAAAAGAGGTTAGATATACCCATCTACCCTAAACATTATTTTTGGGTCATTTACGCTCATTCCGATGAAGAAGTCTTGACAAAACATTTACGAAGAAGTTTTGACAAAACATTTACGAAGAAGAAGTTTCGACAAAGCATATACGATGAAGAAGTTTCGACAAAACATTTACGATGAAATCATGAAAATTCATGAAAATTCAAGAGGGTAGAAAAGAGGTTAGAAAAGAGGTTAGATATACCCATCTACCCTAAAATATATTTTTGGGTCATTTACGCTCATTACGAAGAAGTTTCGACAAAACATTTACGATGAAATTCATGAAAATTCAAGAGGGTAGAAAAGAGGTTAGAAATGAGGTTAGATATACCCATCTACCCTAAACATTATTTTTGGGTCATTTACGCTCATTACGAAGAAGTTTCGACAAAACATTTACGATGAAATTCATGAAAATTCAAGAGGGTAGAAAAGAGGTTAGAAAAGAGGTTAGATATACCCATCTACCCTAAACATTATTTTTCAATACTTTTTCAGCACTTTTCCGTAGTTATATATGAAAGACAATTCGAGATAAAAGTCATAGTACAATGGAATAATATGCTGCACACCGTTTGTTGTGAACCAAACTTGAAAGTCAGAGAAACTGTTACTAGGTGGTTCGTAGAATTTAGAAGCAAAGTCATAAAAGTCCTTACCAATACAAAGAAAACTGTTGTTGCTTGAACTGAAACTTGCATGACACATAACATTTTGAGGGTCGAACACGTTTCTATAAACTGTCAAATCTGTTGGTGGACGTATAAATTTAAACGGACCGTCAGGTGGTAATGGTTCGTTCTGGTTTAGTAACCGAAGAAATTGTGCCCAAGAACGTTTGTCTACTTCCCAAAATAAAAACTGTGTATCTCTTGGAGGGTTATTTTCAATCCTTTGAAATGAAACTGTGGAGTTCATCTTGTCATATTCTAGTTTCAGATAGTATGTTCCATTTAGTAAAGAATCGTATTTTTCTTGAAATTCCCAGTAGTATTTGTTTATTTGAGTTTGAAAGTCATTTAGAGTTTTTTCAAGACTTTCGTCTGAACGAATTGTAAAGATTCTCATTTCATCAAATTTGTCTATTAGACCATTAGGACCTCTATACTGACCATGAAAATATACTGCAAACATAAAAGCGTTAGTTCTATTTGAAAACAAAACTCTTCTAAATCCTATTGCCTTTGCATCTGAAGGACTTTGAAGCCAACGAATTGGATAGTCAAACCTGTAAGTACGGGATGAAATTTCTTCATCTGATATAGTCCTACCGGCGTTTGTAAAGATATAGTCTAACGGTTTTGTATCTGCTACTTTTGTTCTTTGTTTTTCAACCTGAAACATTTAATATATGTAAAAATATATGGTTTTAAAAAATAAATTTTTTACTTCATGCAATGTTTTATTTCTGTGCCGTCTTCAAGTATGCCCCAATATTTCCTTTTCGATATTACATGAACTTCGGAAAATACCTTATCTAGCTTAAAACAGCCCATCTTTTCACCGACCATTCCCATTTCAATGAGTTTGTTGTATCCTTCTTCGTTCGTCATGAGTGCGTCAATGTTCTCATAGTAAACCTTCACTTTGGATTTGACTTCGGAGAAGAATTTGTTGTAGTTGTCAAGGACTGCCTTTGCGAACTGAGGGTAAGACCAATGTTCGACAATAGGTTTTAATGTGGTTACTAAGCCACTTTGACCTTGAGTGAATTCATATTTCAAAACAAAAGGGGAGAACCTTTCAACAAAGTTGTCGACCTTCTCATAATGTTTACTCTTCATCTCTTGAGGTTTCTTAATGGAATATCCCCATGTCGAATTCATAAGCAATTTGAGTGTCATTGCAAGTTTGGGGTTTGAAGCTTTCCTAATATCATACAGTTGTTGTATGACTTTTCCAACTGTATAGTTCCTTCCCGGGAACTCACCATCTTCGTTTGGAATTCCAGTCGGAATATATTGGACAAACCTCATGTACGCAGCGTTAAGGTCGACATAGTATATCTTTTCATCTGAGTCGAACTTCTCGCAACCAATTGGTCCAGTTTGTGGAAATTCAAGTGAATCTCTTATCTTCTGAGAAACTTCTCCTGTTATCTCATAAACATCGTCGAAGCAACCTGTTTCATATAAAACCTTCTGACCTAACTCAGATGCTCTCCAATACAATTTGACGTCAATTGGATGTCTCAATGGAAGTTTGTTTATAGCATCTTGAAGTTCTTGCAACCTCATTGGAAGTTCTTCTGGTTCAGGTTGGTATCCGAACAAACCAACTCCTTGTGGAATTGTGTACTTCTTTTGTACTAGAACTTTGTCTGGAACAACTTTTGGTCTTGCTAACAGTGAAAAGTTTGTTTCGTCTTTTGGTACAAAAGTTTCTGTCAGCTTGTCATCTGGAATTGGTTCCAACAAACCTTTCTCGAAAAGAATGTTTACAGCTCTGACAATGTTGCACTTACTTTTACCAAAGAATGGGTTTGTAAGACTTTCGTTCAACATGAAGTGGTTGTGGACAATTACAATCTTCAACCATGGTAAATTGAACTCAACAACATAGTCGTCATGTGAAGAACCTTTAGCTGTAGGTATGTTGACTCGGATATTGACATTTGCCAACGGTGCAATTTTTGCCAATTGACCTCTGAGAATGTACCTTGTCTTCACACATGACTCAAGATACTTCATCTTCTCATCTGTAACAAGACCAGAGTTCCTGAGACATGTAAGAATACAAGGTTCATTGACAATTGTTTCAATTGAATTGTAAATTCCATACCTTGTCAAGTCAATGTCAGACTTATTTATGAACGGGAAGTATCCAGCATGTTGTCTGACTGCTTGAGGGTTAGGTTCATGCCATTCGAACTTGACACTTGCAATTCCTTCAATTGCATTCAAAATGTCTGAGTCGGAGTCAAACATTTGTTCTCTCTTTGTAGTCTTGAAAGCGTCAAGAAGTTGTGCGGCTGTTGTGACATTGCCATGTGCATAGTAAATGTGACCGTCCAAATCTGTTATGGTTAGTCTGAGATTGTATCCTTTCTTATTTCCGTCTTGTATGGCAGCAAGTACACCCATGAAGCCTTCTTTGTTCTTTCCTTCGTCAAAGTTTACTGTAAAGGTTCGACCAGATGTAATTTGACTTCTAACTTCACGGTACTTTTCATATGCATATCTTGTTCTTTCCATGGGAGCATGTGCGTCTTCACCTTTTCCTTTTTTCCTTCTCAAAGGATACAATTGTTCGTCATGTTTCCAATAGAATCTGGCAAAGCCGTCGTGTCCTTCAACTTGCGGTTCAGAAACATCGAAAGGCATGTCCATAAGACGTTCTTCTTCTAACCTCTCTAGTCTGTTTGGATAATTGGCGCGCGCGGTTTCCAAGTCCATCTCATAGGTCAGACCAGCCAGTTTGTCATAGACTTTTATGGGTCTTCCCTTCCTATATTTAAACTTCTTCGAAACTCTCCAACCATATCTTTCTAACTCTGCTTTTATTCTAGCAGACTTTCTATCCATTCTATGCGGGGGCATTTCTATAAAAATAAAAAAATATTTTTTTCTTTACTTTACATAACCGCCTGCTGCCATAAGTCTTTGACGCCAACCCATACCAGCTAATGAAGGTTGACTTGGTTTAGTATTGAAACTAAACTTTGGTTTTGGTTTATCTTCAGTTTTTGGTTTTTCTTCTTCTATCGGTTTTTCGTCACTTTTCGGTTCCTCTGACTTTACTTCACTTGCAGGAACAGTTGTGTCGTCAACATCTTCATAAATATCATATGCCATTTGTTTTTGTTTTCCTTTCAACTTTTTGTGTTTGTTGTAAAGTTTAGAATATTTCGACTCTAAGTCAATGAGATGTTCTATAATGAACTGTTGGTCAGTGAAGTAAACTTTTCCATCTGTTGTCTCGAAAGCTCCTTCAGACTTCAATATTTTATTTGTGAGAGTCTGTTTCTTTTTTGAGATACTAGCCGTTCCATTTCTATGAAAAGTGACTTTGTAGTTAGGGTTTGTATTTCCAGACCTGGCACTTTCTATTATTGAATTTTTCTCTTCATCTGTAAGTTCTTTGACAGGTTTTGACAATGGTTCTGAACTTTTTGTTTGTGGTGTCAAATCTACCGTTTCAACTTCTTCGGTCATTTCATCTCAGTAAAAAATTTTAGTTTGGTTTGTTTTCAACTGGTTGTTGTTGTTTTTTAAGTCGGTCTAAAACTTCCTGAGGTATAGGAAGAACTTGACAAACACGTTGTGTAACTGCTGGAAGTCGACAAATCCATCTTGAACCCATTTGTCTCAATGCTGTATTGTTCATTTCATCTCAGTAAAAAACTTTACATTCCCCACGTTTGAGGCGGTTGAGGTTGGTTATTGTTTACCCACTGTTGTGCATGGTTATATCCTCTGTTAAAGAATCTTTCACCTTGGTCCATATAGTGTCCTGCTTGGTTATAGTAGTCATTTGCTTTGTTATAATAGTTTCCTGCTTGTCTTCCTACATTGTCCATCCATCCTTGAACTTTTCCTCTTGTTTCAGGATTTGGAATAAGATTTGCTGCATCTCGTGCTACATCCCAACCTTTCTGTACAGTTTGTATAATAGGTTGTGCTTTCTCTTTCAGTATACCTAACGTACTCAAAATCTTCCTTCCAATTCCAAATGCACCTCTGGTTATTGTTCCCACTGCGGGTAAAAATCTAGATGCGACTCCTGCTAATGCGCCAAATAAACCCATTTCTTATGGGTTAAAAATGACGAATTCAAACAAGGACCCCTATGTTTCTAAGGCAACAAAGAAAGCACTCATGATAAAAATCTTTAGTTCAACACCAAATGCTTGGTTTATGGATATCTTGGAAAACATTCCGAGGTATAGAGAAGATGGACCTCCATACTGGTTAATATTTGTTGGTCAAAACACAAGATACTGTGAAGCCATACCATTATGGTCCAAAAATATTTTAGATGTGAAAACTGCTTTGACAATATTCGTTGACAAATACCATCCAACAAAACTGACATCTGACTGTGAAAGTTCTTTCAAATCAGACGATATTAAAAACTATCTGCGTTCAAAAAATGTAAACCAATATTTCATTGTCGACCAAAACCATTCTGCTCTTGGTGTCATTGACAGTTGTATAAAAATCTTAAGAGACTTAAATCAACCACAAGGTGGTGAAGCAAATGAAATGTCATATGACGACAAATATAGACACTTCTCCATGGCAAAGATGAGACAAGTTTTAAATATTTACAATAGCCGTAAACAAAAAGGTTTGGGAAACCACTCCCCCGAAGAAATGAAAAACAACCCTGACTTAGAGAAAGACTATATATTTAATAGTTTAGTCAAAAGAGACAAACAAGAAAGAATGCCAGGCTTCAAACTTCAGAAAGGCGACAAAGTAAAAATAGAAATACCTAAACGCGACCCATATGAAAATACTATTGACTATGACAACAATGGGAACTCGACAGGTACTCACATTCGTGTTCGTAAAAATAGAAGAAAGTATACAAGAGAATATTATGAAGTTTTAGGCAAACATGGCAAAATGTACACACTGCAAGCAGAAGATAAAACTACTATTGTCAGACCTCGTTTCAAACTTGTCAAAGTTCAAGGTGGTATACTTTCAAAGACAGTTCCTAACAAATATAAGACAACTCCTGACGAATATGCTAAAGAAGTTGAAAATGACGACTAAGCAATTCTATACCATGCGTAAACTGTCATGTAAGGTGGCATGTATTCTTTACTTTGTCCCGTTGTTTGCGTATATCCTGAAACGAAATGTGTATGGTTTCCTTCTCCCTGAGTGTCACTCCAGTAACAATTTATAGCAAACTTAACGTCGTCTTTAACATCATATCCTTTACCTTTTGTCATTCCTGACCAATCCCAATATCTATGCTTATGCCAACCTGCTTGAGATGTACTTAAATCTATGTAGTGACTGTGTGCAGGTAAATTTTCACCTGAAATCGTTTTACTTCCACCTGTTTCCTTTGAAGAGTTTGCACAATACAAAAACCTGTCGACTATTTGTTCCCATGCACCAACACCAAACATTACTTGAGGACCTCTTGCTTCCATAGATGTATAAATAGAACCTACTGGGTTCATTAAATCAAACATATGAGACATTATAGGATTGTCTCTTTTGAACTTAAAATATAGTGCAACTATTTCAGGTTTCTTCTGGTTTGTGTCAGAATATTTTTTATAATATAATCTTATGTTTTCAGGGTATGTACAATCTTGACTATAATATTTATTTCTGTCATCTTCATAATAGTATACTATTCTCGTTTTTCTATTGCATTATATCTTTTATATCTATAATATTCTAAATATAATGTTTGCTTTTTTGGGTCTACACGTGCGTCAACACCATAGTCATAATAATATGGTGCTGGAGCTGGGTCAGGCAATGTCATATCTGCCATTTCATAAACTCTTAAATATTTCTTTTGTTCGTCTCCATATAAGTTTAAGTAGCAGTTGTTGTCTAATGGAACTTTAACTTGTGTTCCATCATTCTTTTTATAGCTTACATACATTTCATTGTTATTTTTCGGAATGAGTTTATACCGTATACCATTTTTTAAGGAGTGTACAAACTCCCATCTAAAATATTTGTTTTCTTCATTGACAGAAAAGTCACCAACAATAGTTTCAATATTTTTCGTTGTTCCTATCAAACTTTGGTATATTTCATTGACATATGTTTTATCTGCTTTCTTTTCAAGGCTAACGTTTAAGTCTGTTATTTCAGAAGATGTATGTATATGTCCAACGGCACTTTTACTGTTTAAGGTTTCTTGTAAGTTTGTAATATTTGCAATGGTATGTATATGTCCAACGGCACTTTTACTGTTTAAGGTTTCTTGTAAGTTTGTAATATTTGCAATGGTATGTGTATGTCCAACGGCACTTTTCCTGTTTAAGGTTTCTTGTAAGTCTGTTATTTCAGATATAGAATGTGTATGAGTCTTTTTAGAATATTCGTTTTCAGCTCTTGTCACTTCACTTGACATTTTATTGTCAACATATGTTTTGTCTGCTAGTTCAGGATGAGTATGTTCTTTTGTTGCATAAGCATTGTTAGCTCTTTCTTCTTCTTTTGCTATTGCATCGTCTACATATTCTTTGTCAGCTTTGTTGTCAACATCTGCTTTCAAAAGAAGTTCATTTATAGGTTTCTCGTTTAAAGTTCCTTTTGTTGGATTTATACAGACAGTATGGTTCTTATTGTCTTGAAACAGAAACTCATCTGTCATTGGGTTTAATGTCAGTTTTAAGTTTCCTTCTTTCAATGACTCAGATATCTTAGAATAGTTTGAAAAGTTTGTTGTGTTCTTATTTAGAGCTTGCATAATGAGTTGTCGGTTGTGTTGTATTTCTCTCATAGACGCTGTTTCATTTGACATTTTTATTCTAGATAAAATATGCTTCCAATAGAAAAAGAAAATTCAAGAGTTGCTACAACTAAACCATTAGATGAACTTTTTACTAATGTCGGTCAAAAGTTTGAGACAGAGACCGTAAAGCATGAAGGCTATCGTTTTGACTACCCATTAAGATGGCTAAGAGACCCATCTGTCACAAAAGCTATTGGCTTTCGTAGAATGAAGTTTGTGTCTGTAGAAGATAAAAGTTTTCCATTTATTGTAAGGTTTCATATAGATTATATATCTGAAGGGAAACGAAAAATGTGGGAAGAAATTGAGCTAATACAAGTTGACCTTTCATCTTCTCTACAGACTGCGTTAAAAAATATAGAAGATAAAAAAATTCATGTTATGCAAAATATGCTGATGAATATGCAAATACCGAGAGCACACTTTATGTGAGAATTGTATATGACAAACAAAATTCACAAGTGTCATTTCAAATCTACGAAGACAATCCAAAGAAAGACGAACAAATATATACAGAATTCACTGCAATGTCATGGTATTATTTGCAAAGAATGTTAAATCAGAAAGTCGAACTTCCTTTAGCAAATATTTACAGTCGATATGCAAGAGATGAACCATATTTATTTAAAGATGTTTTCGACCCAGCTGCTATTATTGTTCATGCTTCATTTTCTGGCGCCCAAAAACTCTTTCTTATGCTTGGCAAATGACTTTTACGAAAAACCTACAAAGTTATACGAACCACCAAGTGGAAGTATTTCAGACTTTCAAGTATGGTTTACTACAGATGGAAGAAAAAGAATAATTCCATTATACCATGCGTTTTACTTAGAACTTAGTTTCATAATATACAACTACTATCGAACGGTAAAAATATAATTTTTTAATACGGTTGAGGTGTTGGATTTGGTTGCCAACTAGACTGTGGTGCAGGTTCAGGCTGTTGTATAACAGGAGCTTGCTCTTCTGGTTCAGGGTCTTTAGGTATAATACCAACAAAACTGACCTACTCTTTTACCAATATTTTTGACACCGTTCCAAATTCCTTTTCCGACAGATTTTATTCCATTCCATATACCTCTTCCAACATTTCGAAAGAAGTTTCCTATCTTACTGAAGAAACCCATTTTACTATATGTAAAAATCTAATGTCCGCCTAGTCTCTTACGTTTCCTGTTGAGTTCCATAGCATTCTTTAACTGGAGCTCATACATTCTTTTCTCCTCTGGTAGAAAACATATTCTGGGTCAACTCCTGTGTTCGCGTCATCTGCATAAAGTTGTTTATATCCGACTTCAGGGTTTGTATAAAACTCTTTCCATCTCATATTTGCATACCATGGTGGCAAACCTAACGCAGCGTCATTTGACATGGCAGTTTGCATTTGTACATCTGTTGGCACTTGACCATAGTTTGCCATTGCAGTTTGTATTCTAACTTCATTTGGAATATTCTCTGGGTTTGGTTGTCCAGGTTGCTGTGCATTCGCTAAGTTCTGTGCGTCCATTTAATATTAGATAAAAATATCTCTTACGAGTACATATGCTGAACATTTGCAGGCATTGGTTCATCTTCATATTCTCTATATCTTTCTGCCACGTCAAATAAATAAATGACACAATGGAAAAAACCTAAAACAAGTAGTCCTATTTCAAACCACATTTACTTACTAATAAAATTTCTTTGTTGTGACACTTTCTCCAGTTTATAGGACCTCTCTCATATTCTATCTTATCGTATCTAAACTCATAGTCATGTATGTCCTCTAACCATCTCATGACACTTTCCAAACCACTTTTATCGGATGTAAAGTAAAAGCATGGATGGTTATGTAAAACGTCTAAAGTTTCTAAAGAGTCTCTCAAAGTCCAGTCTACTTGGTATTGAAAATCCCATGTGTTATAGAACGGCGGGTCCACTATAAAGAAAACATTTTCCTTGTCTTTATATTTTTCATACAACTCTGTCCAATGACATCTCACAAACTCTATACCCTCAATATATTTTTCTATGTTCTCTTTGAAAACATTTGTATAGTTAAGATATAAAACTTTTGACATAAGTGTTTCAATGTCATGAACTCTTATAGCACCACTATATAATAGTCTAGCAGATATACTATCCCAGTCAATATACTCTGCCTTTTTCAAAACCTCTCTGACAGTATTTTTCTTATCTAATGGTATACGTTCCATCTTACCTATAGGTATCTTTTCTTTTAACTCTTTCAATATTTTGTTTGTGTCTGGTATATGTTTGAGACGGTTCATATAGTTGTCGAAGTCATTGCATATAATCTTTGAGTCAGGAAATATTGTATGGCACAAATGAGATATATAGAAACTTCCACCGAACAAGTCTACAAATGTTAGACCATTCGGTAGTTTCTTAAGTTCTCTCAATAGAATATCTTTACATCTACTCTTATTTCCAAAGAAGGGTAACGGTGGTTTTGTAAAATTCATTTTATATACAATAAAAATGTTTTTTCCTGAAAAGTGACAGAAAAGTGACAAAACATGTACGAAGAAGTCTTGAAAATTCAAGAGGGTAGAAAAGAGGTTAGAAAAGAGGTTATATCTAACCTTCTACCCTAAACATTATTTTTGTCTGATTTTACGAAGAAGTCTTGACAAAACATGAAAACATATATAATTTGTGAAAAGCTCCTGGAAGACCCGTATATAAAAACTTCATTTATACTAAACATCTTCAGGGCTAGAGGGCACGAAGTGCCTGGAAGCCCCACTACCTTTTTTTTTTTTTTTTTTTTTTTTTTTTTTTTTTTTGTTAGCATTGATATTAATCTCAGATATTGTAAAAAAAATTAAAAAAAATTAAAATATGAAACTAACTTACAGGCATGTATTAGAATATGGTTACGAAAGTTTTGATTTGCTGATTAGAAATTTAGTGAACCTAGCTTTATTGATGAAAATTGAATTGAAATTGCCAGAAACTAAGCAAAATGGCATGAATTAGATAGGGGATCATTCGTGTTTGTTCATATTAATATGAGAAATCAATCAAATGATGCAATCAAACAATTTTATTTGTCGAATATTCCATAATTCGTTTCATTCAATATAATTGCAACATACTTGTATAAATTAGAAATAGTGTGAAATATTGAGATTATTCACCGATTCAGAATTTGTCGAATATTCTATAGTAATGAGAAAACAAAGTATTGATTAATTTTTTAAATTTTTTTAAAATTTTTTATAAATAAACGATCGACTATTTTAAACGTGCACACCTCAAATATTTTTTCTATTTGATTTTAAAAACTTTTTTATTGATATGTAATAAGCAAAAAATTTCGAAATAATCGTCCAAGACTGTAGCAAATTGAGAGGACATACCTAATCGTACTTTTGTATCTGACGATGGATATAGATAGTATAATATATTGTCACACCAAATTTCATAGTTAGAAATTTTTGGGATCAAAATTCGAAGTGGGATTACTTAGTGAAAAAAATCAATGAAAAATTAGAAGAGGTTAAAATACCCATCATTTTGTTACATGTTTTGAACCATCCAAACTTCATATTTTGCTTAGTGCAAATCTCAATGAAAAAAAAATAATTATGGAGCCACCGCTCTTCATAATGCATCATGTAATAATAATAAACGAACAGCCTGGCTTCTTATTACCCATGGTGCCAATATCAATGAAAAAGATTTTTTTGGAAGAACGCCTCATCATACTACAACAGAATAGTTACTGTTTGCAGTGGGAAGATGAAGAGGAGTTTAACTATCATTATCGCTCGAATTCCAATCACCATCACTTAAAATTAAGTTGAGTTCTTCTAATCTAATATTTGTTAAACAATACTTCAGTAATTAATGAACAACAAATTTTCTAAAAATTAAAAATAATGTTTTATTTTATCAAGCATCAATAATAGATAACATTTTTGTTGCGATTGTTTTCGCTGATTCTACTTTCACATTCGTCATTTTTGAAATTAAACTTCTCACTCCTCTGATCTTCAAGAACTTCCTTCCATCCTCGTACTTACAGAACATGGATATCCTTGGTATCATTCTACAAGCTAAATCATCTTTTCCTTCAAGTAATTTCACAGTTAATTTGGCCAAACCGTTTTCTATCATTTTCTTGGCCAATCCTTCATCACTTCTGAAGATATTGCATACAAGAGTTCCAGCAAATTCCCTTGTCTTAATATCATCGACATTGAATGCTGGTAAAATTTCTTCAATCATCATAGGAAATTCTAGTGCAGTTTTAGGGTAAACGTAAACAATGTTTGCTAATGCATATAATGCAAACCTTCGAACTTCGATATCTGTTATGGAAAATGCGGATATAATATTTGGAACAACTTTTGTGATGTATTGAGGCTCCAAAGTATTACCTTTTGCAATGTTTCCGATTGCAGATAGCGCTCTTGACCGTACTGGATTGTCAATTGACAATGTCATACGTTCCAAAAATTTCAATCCGTCTTGTTGTTGAATTTGAGCTACAAATCGTGGATGTGTTCTTGCCAAATGAGCAGATATGATGACTCCTGCTTCCGCCATGGCTCTAGAACTGTAGGCAACCTTTAATACGTCGCCAACTTTGTCAGGTTGTATGGCTGAGTCACTTCTTATGGCCAGGACACATCTGACAAGTAAAGCAGCAACGTAAAATGGCGGATTCGAGGTTGATTTCTCAATTCCTTTCGTTAATGAAGTCAAAATGTTATGTTCAAAAAGGGAAGTCATCAATTGGTTGGCATCCGCACCACTATCTAATGAATCTAATACGAATTTAGAGGCTTTTTCGATCCAGTTGTCCCTATCAAATAATTTTGATAACTTCTCAATGTTGATACGTGAAGAAGAAGAGAACATACAGTCGACAACGCCATTTGCATGCATCGGGAGAACGTTATCTAGTGAATCCATGCATGTATCGACGTCAGAAGGCTTAACAGGGAAATTCACAAACGGAGAAGTATGAACTGGCACGTAGGCAAGGATCTCAAGGAGCTTTGTAGGCTGTACAGAAGCGAATTGAAGCAGAGATTTGAGGAGAACGCTTGAATCGATGTTGGAATTTTGGTAAAAAGCGTTGAGGAAGGTAGTAACGTTAGCCAAATCCTCTCTTTTAGGTACAATATGCTGAAACTCACCCATTTGGCTCAAAGCTGGGAAAGTAATTCTCAAGAAAGAAAATGCACAAGAAAACAAGCAAAAAGTCTCAATACTTGTTGGTGCTTGTGATATACTATTTAATAATGTATTAATTAGCTGGTTGAACGACTGAATCAGCTGAATAACATTATTATTTTTCATCAAAATCTTAGAAAGGATGCTGAAACCTGCTGCAGAAACATTTGTTATATTTTTCTGAGTAATATGTGATATAATAATCGGAATCACTTGTTCAGAAAGGGAAATACTGATAACCGTCAAAAAAGTGTCACTGGTTTGGGCCAAAAATGCCATCATTGAATAAAGTTTTGAGAATTCGACAGCATCTGAAGTGAAGAGGAAACTGAGGAGTTGGTTCATCATCTTTTCCGCTGAGTTTTTGTCGGTTAATATATCTCCAACTTCTCGAATTGCTTGATCTGAACCTGATTCAATAGATTTCTGTGAAAATGGTATCAAAAGAAGCTGAGTATAGAAATCTATAGCGCTTCTAGGAATATTTGATTCATTTAATAAGTCAATTCCTGAGATAAAACTTTGAATACATTTTTCTCGATTTTTTGAGAGAAACATCTCAGCACATTTGAGGGAAATCTCAACACATTTCGGTCTAGATATGAAATCCTTGAATTTGTAGCTAAAAGAAGAAGCAAATGGAGATTCATATGGAGGATTGTTTTCGTAAAGGTAATTTAGGGCATTAATGACTTCCTCATCGCTATAGCTTGATGGATTGATGAAAACTGATTGAAAGTCTTTGTTGTTTCCGTAATTTTCAAGTTGAGATTTTGCAATTGCTGCTGAAAATTGCTCCTTTTTATATCTGTAGAATTCATCTTCGGATGTATCTATGGGGACACCTTTAATAAATGGATGTTTTACTAAATCTTCGCATGAAGCTCTACGATCTGGATTTTTCTGAAGCATAATGCTCAAAAAGCCTTTAAATTCGGGCGATATTGGTTCTGACCATGCTATTTGATCGTTAACAATCATTTGAATTAATTTATAGATTGATTTTGCGGAAAATGGCGTTTTTCCGTAGTATAACTCGTAAAGAATTGCTCCAAGTGACCAAATATCTACTTTTTCGTTATATTGTTGCTCTTGAACTAACTCTGGAGCCATATAAAGTGGAGTTCCTTTGATTGAGTTCAAAACTAAGGTTGTATTTGATAATGCACGTGCAAAACCGAAATCGCATAGTTTTACTGTGTTGTTTAATGAAATCAAAACGTTTTGTGGTTTAATATCTCGATGAATAATTCTTTGCTGATGAAGATATAGTAATGCTGATACTAGCTGTGCAGCAACACTCTTGAGGACTGATTCTGGGAGAGTTTGCTGATCTTGAATAACTTGGAAAAGATCGCCTCGACCTAATTCCGTTACTAAACAAACATCTGTATTTGTTTCAAATACTTCAAGAAGACGCATAATGTTCGGATGATCTACTTTTTGCAAAATATTAATTTCTCGGCGTAGAGATGCCAGCGAGTCTTGAGATTGTCCAAGTTTGTGAATCATTTTGATGGCAACTAGACGCCCTGTATACTTTCTGCGTGCTTTGTAGACTCGGCCGAATGAACCTTCACCAATCTGTGCAATCTGGTAATAATCATTCATTCTTTCGAGTTGAAAAATTGCCGTTGAAAATATAAAAATAGATATAATCTTATGGTATACTTTCAATAAATTATGTATATTGTATTACATATCACATAACTTTTTTTCAACAGAAATTGAATTATGATCAATATCTCTTGTAAGTCACATATAGTGCTAATTTTGATGTGTGACTCTGATAATATGTTCTTGGTTTCCATTTGTTAATTGAAATTATAAAAATAAATTATATTACACGTTTTTTTAGATCAAGCTCCTAAAATCAAGCTTTACTTATTGATTCATAAATATATTGAGTGTAAATCAACTAATTATATATATATATATATATGTGTGTGTGTGTGTGGAAATTTCTTTTTCGTTGCCATGTTAGAAGCCCTTAAACTTACCAATAATTGAGCCGGATAAAGAGTTCTAATTATTATAAATACAAATGCATAGAGCTTTATGAGTTTGATGAGATTGTGCAAAATCATAATTATGTTTATAAAGAAAGATCTTTCTTTTGAATACTAATCGCAAGTAATAATACATATATGATATCATGGTGATTGTTGTCAATAGTTGAGACTCTTTCGGCCAGATCCTAAAAAATTTTAGGAAGCAATTTATAAATTTAAAAAGTGTCGAAAATTTTTAAAAATTTTTCAAAATGTCTCTTCAAACAATGAAGACATACTTATATGATTTGTTTTATACAGTAAGGTCAGAAGTAATTCGCAATTGGGTTAATATTGGGAGACAAAACAAAATCAAGTATTCTGATTACGTGAGAATGACAAATTTTCAAGATTCAGTAATGTTCCATATTAACATTCCACAAGACATCGTCCATCATTTAGAAACTGAAGCAAGAGAAGTCAGAGTATATAAAGGAGTTTATCTTTTCTATTCAACATTTCTTTTATTTACAAGAGGAATTAAATTGAACGAAAAAGATTTTGATTTGATTGCACAAGGTGCAATTTATCAAATCCTTACTAATCAGTGTTCATGTGAATTTTGTTATTCTTATTTTACACTTCTTGAACTCAGTTTTATTATAGAGAAATTAATATTGCCATATTTTATCAAACGAAATGCACCAAAAGAAATCATTTTGATTTTGGGGAAAATTTCAAAAGACATTCAACTCAAAGATGATTTTTGGATTGGCTGTTATCCTGACCCCAACGGCTATGTGGTGAATTTCCGATACTCAAATTTAGACCAGTTCAATCCAGTGAAAGAACAAGTAAAAAATTTTGATAAAAAATCAAACATCTATATTATGTAAATTGTATATTTGGAAGAAAATATATGATTTATTAATGGTTAACCTATGATTGTTAATGAATAACTTTAATGTGTTTGTAATCATGGTAGAGTTAATTACTCTTTAATGCATTAACATTTGTATGGTTATCGTATTTATAATAGTATACTTGTTTAATATTCCTGCTTTGACCACACCTATCAGCAAAAGCTTCACACAATACAAAGTTACCAGACGTAGTTTTCATTGATATTTTGAATTTTTTTATTCTGAATTTAATTTTGAATTTTCAAACGCATTACATTTATTAAATTTGTAAATAGTTGATATGTTCTTAGGGAGCTCGTTATATAGTTTTACTATGCTTTGTCAATTTGACTTTTATTTTTGAGATTTTTTGAGTTATAAAATATTCAATTTATTAATACTGGAGAGAATTCACATGAACTTTCTACATCTCATTGCCTCATGTAAATTCTCAATGAAGTCGAAGAGAAATACTTTTTCGCTAACTATCTATAAAATGCAAATTTACAGAACAGTTTTTGAATCCATAAAAGATTGTTTTGGAAACTATTCATAAAAGTGTCAAAATTTTTAAAATTTTATCCAAATGTCTCTTCAAACAATGAAGACATACTTATATGATTTATTTTATACAGTAAGGTCAGAAGTAATTCGCAATTGGGTTAATATTGGGAGACAAAACAAAATCAAGTATTCTGATTTCGTGAGAATGACAAATTTTGAAGATTCAGTAATGTTCGGTATTAACATTCCACAAGACATCGTCTATTATTTAGAAACCAAGGAAAAAGAACTTAACGAATATAAAGGAATTAATATTTACATTGGAACATTAATATTATTTACAAGAGGAATTAAATTGAACGAAAAAGATTTTGATTTGATTGCACAAGGTGCAATTTATGAATTCCTTAATTATTCCAAACCACATTCATTCCGTTTTTCATATTTTCCTATTATTGAGCTCGGATATATTATAGAGAAATTAATATTGCCATATCTTATCAAGCAAAGTGCCTCAGATCGAATCATTACTTTTTTGATAGAACTTTCAAAAGACATTCAGCTGCAAGATGATTTTTTTATTGGTTATCATCGTGGCCCTAATGGTTATAGAGAGTATTTCCAATACTCAGATTTAGACTACTTCAATCCGGTGAAAGAACAAATAAAACATTTTGAAAAGAATTCAAAAATCTAATTAATAATTACTACTTCCTTATGATAAAATTTAAATTTTCATACTCTTGAATCAAATTCTTTTTTAATATTTTTATTAGTATTCAAAGGAAATGGGAGCATTATAACTTGAAATTTGGACAAATGATCATTATGAAAGCTTGCCTTAACGTTGTCACGGCTTCCCTTCACTTTCAGAAGGACTTTGGACTGAATAGTTTAGATATTCAAATAATGACTATATTCAACATATCATTTTGGAAGTAAGTCTTGTTTTGTTGTAAACAGAAATTCATCAAAAGTGACACCTCAGAAAAGCTAAAATATTGAATTTTTGGAACTTTTGATAGAGCACGTTTTTAAATATTAATTAAAGTAAATGTATATTTTGTAAAGATTCTTTTTAATAAAAAAATAAAATTTTGAAGAAGAACACAAAATCTTCTGAAAAATAATATCACATAAACTCATATTATTTTCTAATATATAACTATTTTATATAAAAATCAAATTCAATGATCTTAAAAGCGAAGGATAAACCTCAAAATTTACGAATATAATGAGTGGGAATATAATGCTTATCTATCATAAAACCATATGAAATATCAATTTTTGCTTTACGCCTATTCCCACTCAACGATAGAAATTGAGTGGAAATTAATCGTCGAGGAAGTACGATTATGTAAAGTAAAAAATGTTGTGGGATTTTTAATATTATATATTATTTTATAATAAAAATTTTTTGAGTCATTTTAAGAAGCACATATAATTTTTTGAATTTAAAAATTAAAGTAGTGTCAAACGAATTTATCACTTAATTTAATACTCAGATTTCTTAAAATTAATGAAAAAAGGGTTTTCTGAGAACTTTTGAGAATGGTTTTCAAATTCCATTATTGAAAATATATAGGTATTGTATGAAATTCTAACTCTATATTTATTAAAATTCTAAATTTTTAATAAAATAACTTTTCAGAGGAATTATGATTTTGAATGGTTGATTAATAAGTATAAAAATGTCTACGATTTTAAGGAGGGAATTGTTCCTTATGAGGTATACATCATAACTATATACCTCATAAGGAACAATTCCCTCTTGATAGCTGGGAAACTTTCTCTGAATAACTTATCATTTGGAGAAAGTTCCCCAGCTATCTATTAGGAACTAAAGGCTATGAGGCACTAATATATAATCAGTGCCTCATAGCCTTTTGTTTCCTATTAAAAACGAGAAAACTTGTTCGAAATGATAAACAATTTCGAACAAGTTTTCTCATTTTAAGGAGGGAATTGTTCCTTATGAGGTATATAGTTATGATGTATACCTCATAAGGAACAATTCCCTCTTGATATCCTGGATATTTTTGAATATATTTTTTTAATTAAAGTTCTCAAAAGTATTATCAAAAGTGATTTTTAAAAAATATCTCCAATTAATTAACTAATTAAAAGTATTATATTTTTAAAATTAAATAGTTTTTCAATTTTTTTGAAGGAATTGAGATACTTCCCACGACAATAAAATTGAGAGGTTTACATTATGACTGATCTTAGCATGCAACAATATTTTGCATTGTTGTAAACAGAAATTCATCAAAAGTGACACCTCAGAAAAGCTAAAATATTGAATTTTTGGAACTTTTGATAGAGCACGTTTTTAAATATTAATTAAAGTAAATGTATATTTTGTAAAGATTCTTTTTAATAAAAAAATAAAATTTTGAAGAAGAACACAAAATCTTCTGAAAAATAATATCACATAAACTCATATTATTTTCTAATATATAACTATTTTATATAAAAATCAAATTCAATGATCTTAAAAGCGAAGGATAAACCTCAAAATTTACGAATATAATGAGTGGGAATATAATGCTTATCTATCATAAAACCATATGAAATATCAATTTTTGCTTTACGCCTAATTTTGACGACAATTAGCAAAAAATGTTAAATGTTAACACTCAGTCCATTTGAATATGAAAAATAAAATTGACTTTGATTAAATGTTTTTATTTATCATGCAATTCTTCTTGCGACCAAAGATTTGAATAAAATTTCAAAAAATAAGATAGCTTAAAAAATAATATACGGTAGTGTTTACTAATAGATGAATAGTATATAAATTCTATTAAAATGGATTTGATCCAAAAAAATATATATAATTTGATCATAAATAAAATCGTTTTAAATTACTTCTTCATTTAAATTATAACAATTATTTTTGGTTTTATATTTTTTTGGATCAAATCCATTTTAATAGAATTTATATACTATTCATCTATTAGTAAACACTACCGTATATTATTTTTAAGCTATCTTATTTTTTGAACTTTTATTCAAATCTTTGGTCGCAAGAAGAATTGCATGATAAATAAAAACATTTAATCAAAGTCAATTTTATTTTTCATATTCAAATGGACTGAGTGTTAACATTTAACATTTTTTGCTAATTGTCGTCAAAAATTAGGCGTAAAGCAAAAATTGATATTTCATATGGTTTTATGATAGATAAGCATTATATTCCCACTCATTATATTCGTAAATTTTGAGGTTTATCCTTCGCTTTTAAGATCATTGAATTTGATTTTTATATAAAATAGTTATATATTAGAAAATAATATGAGTTTATGTGATATTATTTTTCAGAAGATTTCATTCTATATGCCTATGAAAAGTACTCTCAAAACTAACTTTTTCCTAATTATAATTAAATCTAGAATATTGTATTATGCTTAGTATTATTTCATTTTTCTCATTCAATTTAGAATTTACAAATGTCAAAAAATTGAGAGCTGTCACTTTTGATGAATTTCTGTTTATTACAGCATCAACATCAATTATAAAACACATTCATTTTTCCAAAAAAATCACAATTTTGTGATTTTGTAATAAAAATTGTATTTTTTCATTTTATTTTTCATTTTTTGAAATTTTTTTGGAATTTAAACTTAAAGCAAAGACAGATTTTTATATATGATTAGAGTATACTTGATGATTCGGTTATAATTTTATCTCTAAAAGTTATACATTCCTTTTAACAATGAGTATTTCGATTCAATATCATGTATTCAAAGCATTTTTGAGCCTACTTTACTTAAGAAATCAGATTCAACACATTAGTATATTACGATAGGATTGCTATAAAACGATAATATCAATTTTTTAAAGAAATATTTTCTGATCTCGTTTTTCAAGCATAAATTTAGGATTTATTATTAGTTATTCACCATATGTTATTGAATTCCTGTAGAAATAACTACTGATACTTCATTATTGTTAACAAATTGAAACAAAATTTCACAGAATCTTTTGAAGAATGATATATTTATGCATTACTCAAGCTACAAAAATGATGCAGAGCATTAGCATATGCATCATTAACTTATATCTTCTAATTAAATTCTAGGTTAATATATCACAAAATTGGCAAGACCAATTTTCTTCATACGACACATTTAGTATATATGGTATATATGCAATCTATGCTCTTGAGTATATGGCTTAAATCCGGTCAGAAAAAAAGTGTCTGTACCTTTTTATTAACAACATCCAACTCAAATTTAGATGTCAGTCTTGCAAATTAGATGTAAAATGCATTCTATTTAATATTAATACACTAGGAACATATATTTCAGCCAAATTAGAGCCTGTAAAATTCTAGGACCTAATTCATCATCAATGTGTCCAATGCTTTTGTTTATGGCCAAGTTACTCCCAAAAAATCACTATGTCAATGTATTGTGTCACTCCCATGGAGAGGAAATTGTCGCTGAAGCTCCGCATTTGGTTTAAGTATGGCTGCATCTGAAAGGAGAAAAAAAAATAATAGTTTCTAGATAAATAATTTTAAATAAATCTCGATGCTACTTTTTAGAAGTGCTGATCATCCTCTCCAAAAATAACAGCAAGGGCGCAAAATGATAAGTATAGCGTTCCAATGTAAATATCAACTTTTCGACACTTAATAGCCGTCCAAATTAACTGTAATTTTGATGGCTTTCTAACGACAATCATACTTTTTACTGTGATTTCGCAAAATAAGTAGCTCCAGTGAGACAAAGCTTTCTTAAAAGAATCTGAATGTTTTTTGGAAGTCATTGCTTTAAAGAAATGAATCTGGTTGTTGATAGGACCTAGGTGATTGAATCGAATTGGAATATTTCCATTGCCTAATAAGATAAGGTGGTAATATTCCTGAAATTCAGATGGGGTGCCATCAAATGCGAATCGGAACTTTTTAGCTTCTTCAAATGAGTAGATCAAAGCTTCATTTGGAAAAACTTTATCGTATGCACTCAAAGCATGGCCTTCACTGAATGTATATTCGTCAATATCGAATCTGTTGAGGATTTGCTTCATGTGGTCGTCCAATTTGATGGTCCATGGAAAAACGATTTTTAAATCATCGAAATTGAATGTGTTCCATGCTAAGTATATAGCGCAAAAAGCATCCAAAATAGCCGAAGCCTTTTCAACATTTTTGGCCTTTGATAGTAAATCCGGTTTATTAAAACGTGAGGCAATTGATTTAATTTCTGAATAAAAGTCTTTAGAGTTTTTAATACTTTTCATGTGGTCAATTTCTTTAGATAAGTCCTTTAACTGGCTTGGGGACATTTTGTCAGGAGGATTTAAGTATTTTAAAACATCTTCGTTAAACCGTGATCCATCGTAGTAGTTTTTGATTTCGTTTGGGTCAAGGCTCATAAGTGAAATAGTTGGAATAAGATTTTTGACTTCTGATGTAATCATCTTTGTAAAAACTTGCAATCTTTGGATAAAATATTGCTTATTGTAATTTGCGAAGTTCTGTTGTATTATTTCGCTTTGGCCTTCCTTATTTCTGTTGACTCCAGAAAGTATTTCGTCGATATGCAAAAGGGCATCGCAAGCATGGCAGTTCTCGTGGTTGATAACAACGCCTAATGGATGGTACACTAAGTATAGCTCGAATGGATGGCAGTTAAGTCTTGTGTATGGATAAAGACCTTTGCAGTTTTCAGGGTCAATGTCAATGTAAAATGTCAAAAGACCTTTTGGTCCGAGTTCTGGTTCTTTTAATCCTGTTATTTGTTTATTGTTAGTGCGATAAATAAGTTCGGCGTTGTTTGATTCAAGAAATAAATTTAATAGTTTAAATATTGCCCAAAGCATTTCAACTTGCTTAACTTTCGTAAGTGACTCGATAAACAGTTGATTTTTTGCAGCCAAATCCGGTATAAAACCGATTCTTGTTGTATTTAAATCTTTGATAATGTCACGAAATTGATTTTGTAAAGCAATTATTGCTGGGTCATTATTATTTCGTGTGATGGTAGCTTGGTTTGCTGCTGATATGGCACCAGAGTTACCATTGGACATCTTTTCGGATCCAAAAATTCATTCACAACATCAAGTTGAATGATGTGTTTTTTTAAAAAAGGAACCAATATATAGTATGACATATGTTGATATGATTTATCAGGAAAATTCTAGGAATTAATCAATATTTAAAATAAAATTTTTTTTAATTGCTTGTGGAGAATAAATTAGTAAATTTTTATTGATATACAACTTATGGGAAGGCAGGGAATAGCACCCAACTAAAGAGCCTGTGGTCAGGCCAAATAAACCCTATCGTTGTAAAAATTTTATATTCGAGATCGTATTTTACTAGGGCTTTCATAAAAAATCACAAAATTCAAGTTAGAGTTTTTTGATTTTCTATCATATTGCTATCAATCCCCTTGATTACATACACCCAAATTCGACTTTCGAAATTATTATTAAATTATTATACATATCAATAGCAGTTATACAAATAAAATACCTTTTTCAAGTTTTTATATCCATAAATCGAGATTTACATACATAAAAAATGTCTGATTATCAGTTAATCAAAGAAAAAAAAGTTAGTTATATGCCAAAAGACTAACTAATACAGAACGAATACGAGAAGAAAAGTTGTAAAAAAAAGATAGTTATATGCCAAATCTAAAAAAATACATGCATCTTCATCTTTCAATATGGGTAATAGTTTGTTTGATATTATATAGTGATTGATATATACTTTCTCCTGACCAAAAATATTAACTTTTGACCTAGATTGCTTAAATATTAACTTTTGACATTGATGAATCAAATGAAGAAACCGATTTCATGTATTTATTATCGAGAGAGATTGATACATCGAATCCAGATTTAGTTACAATTTTTTCACAATTACAAAAACATCCAAACTCAATTTCACACTTGAAATCATTTATTCTTGCTCTACTAAGAACCAAATCTTCAAGCGGAATAACAGAACGTCTTGCATCATACTTAATTAGCCATGTCACATTACTTGAAGCAATTTCACACAACGTTGAACTTGCCAGTCTATTTTTAATCAGCGAAAACGGCAAACAAACATTCACATCCGTACACAAAGTATTTCTTAAAGAACAAGCATCACGAACTCGCGTTTTTTTTTGCAAGAAAACAGATTCGATAACGTATCTAATTCAAACCATTTAAGCGACTACAAATACTATATATCTCAAATCGATAGCATAGATGAAAGATTGTCGGAACTTGATACTATTGCAAAAGATGCATTCAAGAGTAAAAATGTCAATTCATTAAAGAATGCATTCAAAGAAGTCTATTCTCTTTTAGCAGGATGCATGATATTCAATGATGTTGTTCTTCGAAACCAGTCAAATAAGTCATCAGACTCAATGAGAATGATTCATAATGCATTTCCAGATTCACCACAAGATACAAATGAGTTCATTAAATGGATCAAGCAACTCATTGAAGAACGTGATTCATCAATTAAAAACATTAAAACATTCAACATTGAACAATCCAAAATGTATGAAAAGATTAACAATTTTGAAACCGAGTTACAAACAAAAACTAAACGCACAAAGATCTCAACCAATGATTTCGAAGAAACTCATGAAGCTCTAGTCCAGAAAGTATCAGACTTGCAACGTTAACTTAATGATTTTCATCAACAATTTGGTAATAAAGATACAGAGAGCGTTGAACTCCAACGTTTAAGGAATAAGTTCCAAAAGAATGAACGTGAAAACAATATCAATCTTAAGTCGTTAGAATCCGAAAATTCATCTCTTCGTGCTAAGATCGACGATCTTCTTCAAAAACTGAGTAAGAAAGAATCTAAAATTTCTATCCTCAAATCCAAGATCGAACAATTTTCAGTCAAATCAGAAGATGCAATCAGTTCTGAAAAGCAAACGCGATATGAAATTTCCGATCTTCAACGGTTATACAACAATACATCATCTTCACTCTTTAAAGAGCAAGAAAAATCACGATTTTTAACAAATCAAGTTGAACGCTTGCAAAAAGAATTTGATAATGTTGTTCAAGAAAACAAAGAACTCAGATCTTTACTTGAGCGATCCAAACAAAGTGTTCAAGAACAGATGGAAGAAAACACTATCTTGTTAAAGCAGATGCGTCGTGATTCTCAATCTAATTCGAAAGAAACAATTGAAAACTTGGCAAACAAAGTATCCAAACTTAAATACGAACTTTGTCAATCTAAAAAGTTTATTTGCAAACTCCAAAAACAAATTGAAGATTTCCGAAAGAAACATCGTGACTGTCATGAAGAAAGCACAACTTATCATCACAAATCATCTAAAAGTACCAAAGAAAACCAAGATTATAAAGAACATATTTCATACAAAAAACACAAAAATGTTCAAATTCTTGACTCATCATCATGTTATTCATCCAATTCATTTGAATTCGAGAGTAACTCTAATGTAAGTAATTTAGATAAAGAAATTGAGAAGTTAGAGAAGAATGTTAAAATTTCACGAAAGATCCTTCAAGAAAACACAAAATTTTCTAAATGAGTGCATCCTAATATACTTATTTGTTATAAACGTATTATTTCCTATTATTTCTATAAACGTAACTCAATCCTCTGAAAAATCTGAGATAATTTGTAGGATAATTTTTGGGTGGAAAAAAAGTCCAAAATAACGATTATTTTTAATTGAATTTTGGACTTTTTTTTCCAAAAAATAAATTCCGATCATGACGATTATTATTTTAGTGTTTGTTTCTTATATCTCATTATACACTGTTTGTTAAATAAAATAATTATTACATATGTTTTATATAGGATATTAAACAATTGTCCTTTTAATACCAAGTCAATTCGTTGTAGTTTTTATCTAATTTAAATAAATTTATCGAATAAATTGAATATTTAGATGCTGAAAGTTTTAGTGCTAAAAGGAAAATGTACCCAGAATGTGATAATGATATGAAAACGAAGAAATATTGTTATTCGAATAATGAAGCATAATGAAATCATAGAAATTCCCTGTTATATAGTTATTTTGGATATTATTACGCTTGTATAATTGATATATATTATTAATTACATGTTAATATTAGTAAATGACTTTATTTTTATATCGATATTGTGTAATTAAACAAAAATATGGTTTTATTCGTGTTTCAATAGAATTTTGAATTTTAATAGTATAATATATTGTAAGGAAAATAAATTAAATGCTAGAAATCTTTAATTTAAAATTATTAAAAAATTTAAAGGAGCTAAATCAATTTGAATAAAGATTTGTTATCTACATATATGATTATATTCAGATTTATAAATAATTTTAAAACATAAGCTTTTTTTAAAGAAATTTCGAACATTTAGAAAAAAATCTCAATACTTTGCAAAGTCTGTTGTGTTAGGAGATAATATTGAATATAAAAGAGCAGATAATTGATGGAGGGAAAAAATTGAGAAAACATTCAATCGAAAATAAATATTCATTATAAATGATAATTAAAATGTAAATAAAACTTGAATATGAGAGAATTCATAAAATTTCAATGCTATTATTCAAATTTTGACATATGTAGAATATCAAAATTGAAATATAATAAAGCTATATCGATGACTTGCAAAATAATAATATTTTGAGTTATTTAGTTAAATGAACATTTTTTGAGAAATTATTGAAATGTTTTTCAATGCTCAATGTTTACAACAGATTGAACAATGTAGTTTGTTTTGATATGAGTTAAAGATATTCTCTTTCAATTTTGTAATGTTCAAAAAAATATTATATTGTTGTTAATTATTTTGGGTTCTTTATTAAAATTTTTATTTGTTTTGCATAAAAATAATGATTTGTGAAAAAAGTGACGTATTTGAATGAATTTCAAATGAGTTAATTTTTTGTAAAAATCAGCATTCCATGAAAAAGTGAGTATTTTCCAATAAAAATTGATTACATAATGGCACGTTTCTCGGAAATTGAATTATGAAGTCTCATCACACTTTTCAATGCTCGATTTTTAAAAACTGTTTAAAAATGGAGCTTATATTGAAATAGTGTAGAGACTAAAAATTACCACAGACTATTTCAGAGGATTGAGTGGCAACTCAATCCTCTGAAAAGTCTGAGGTAATTTGCAAAATTTCAATCATTCATTCAATTATTGAATAAGAAGATTTTGAAATCTAAGATGATGTTTTGAAATTTATATTCAACTTTGAGATTTCGAAAAAATCAATTACTTCTCAAAATATTGATAAAATATTTATTGATATTAATATGATATTTGAGATCTTCACTATATATCTAATTATTTTATATAAGTAATAATTCAAGGCCTCCTGTTTTAGAAAATATTTTGTTCATCCACCAATTATTTCGTTTTTCATAATGTTAATATTAAAATCTAGTTAATAATGTAATGATCTGCAGTTTTCAAATTCAATAAAATGTTGATTTAGCCTTTTAAAAGTTCATTTATTTACAAAAACCCACTAAAAAAATTCCAATTCTATGATACCAATTCAAAAATTGAGATATTTAAGGGTGCCCTATAACGATAATGTAAACATCACAAAATTAACCTTATTAGAACTCGAATGAATGGATTATCCAGATTCTAGTTCTCAATATAATAGCCTTAAAAGTGCTTTTCTGAGGGTGGTCTATCGTCTATAGGGCACCCTTAATATCATTTTTCTCAAAACAAAAAAAATTTGGAATTTTTCTATATTTTTCTCATCATATTTTAAGATTTTATCTTTCAGAGATTATTATCCGTTAAAAAAAATTCTAAAAATACGTTAATTTTAATATGCTCGGCGTTTGCCGAGCTTACGTACTTTAAAACTAACCTCAAGCTCATTCCCTCTAGCCTTTCATTGGCTAGGGAAGACAATACAAACGTTTGTGTTGAAGCTATCAGAGGATTATCATTATATGATAATTCTCATGGTAGCTTCATCATAAACAAAAATCAATTTACTATCCCTCGCTCACCAACTCATATACATTAGAGCAGAGTTCTTCTAATTTCTCCTAAATCGAAGAAGATCTTAGAAGAACTTTGCTCTATTCGATCAAATTATGCATTCATGGCTCGAGCTTAGCCAGGTATGCTGCCACGTTACATTATTACAAGGATCTTACTTAAGCATTATCATTTTGTAAGAACCCTGTGATAATGTAACACAATAACATATTTCTACTCACAACAAAGAGCCAGAGAACCACATCTGCATTAACTTGTGCTGAAGTTTTCTGGATTTCCTTCCTCATTTGAGGAAAATCCAGATAACTTCAGCACAAATAAATTACAGACATGTTCTCTCGCTCTTTGTGGGCCAAGCACCACAACTACATTACACTAGGACAGAGTTCTTCCGAGGCCTCTCATCAAATAAGAGACTTCGGAATAACTCTGCTCTATTCGAATAATTACAGAATCCTAGGCCTTTTTGGAACCAGGAAAGAGTAGTAAGAGTGCTTTCAGGCAATGCTCATTACGAAGTCTCTCATCGAATGAGAGATTTCGTAATGAACATTATCCGTTTCGAGTAAACTTACATCCCTGACCCTCAAGGGTTCAGGGATTAGTACTCTAGTCCATGAGGGGAATAACAAATAACTAATATCGCCAGTAGCACAATAGTTATACAGCCTAGCTACTATATCCTAGCAGCTAGGCTGCATAGTTATTGTGCTTCTGGCTTGCGTAACCCTCATGGAAGACCGATTGGAGATCTCCCGCCGAAATCACTTGCTGATGTGGATGGAGCAGCACTATGATTGGCCAGATCAAAGGCTGCGTAGCATCCCAGCAAGTGGATAGTCGGCGGCGACCCCAGCTGTGGTCCACCATGAGATAATGGCACTTTTTTATATTTTGGCGCCAAAGCCGAATCTGACAACATGGACCCTTTACAAAGTGTCAGATTTGAAACTTTACAAATGTCAGATTTGCAACTTTACAAATGTCAGAGTTTGTGAGATTTCCAGCACTCAAATTTTGGTCTTCCCTCGGTTTCGATCTCATATGTAGAATTATTTTCTTCTACTGGTAATGAAATACTATTCTGAGAAAGTGCTGGTTTCTATGAAATGCAATTTTGACAGCTCTTTAATCAATAAAATATATTTTGGAAACTATTCTTACTACTTTTCGACATTTTTTTGGGGAAAAAAAATTGTAAAAATGTTAAAATTTTAAAATTTTTTTTTCTAAATGTCTCTTCAAACAATGAAGGCCTATTTATATGATTTATTTTGTACAGTAAGGTCAGAAGTAATTCGCAATTGGGTTAATATTGGGAGACAAAACAAAATCAAGTATTCTGATTTCGTGAGAATGACAAATTTTGAAGATTCAGTAATGTTCCATATTAACATTCCACAAGACATCGTCCATCATTTAGAAACTGAAGCAAGAGAAGTCAGAGAATATAAAGGAGTTTATCTTTTCTATTCAACATTTCTTTTATTTACAAGAGGAATTGAATTAAACGAAAAAGATTTTGATTTGATTGCACAAGGTGCAATTTATCAAATCCTTGTTAATCAATGTTCTTGTGAATTTTGTTATTCTTATTTTACACTTCTTGAACTCAGTTTCATTATAGAGAAATTAATATTGCCATATCTTACCAAACGAAAAGCACCAAAAGATATCATCAAAGTTTTGGAAGAAATTTCAAAAGACATTCAACTCAAAGATGATTTTTGGATTGGATCTTATCCTGACCCCCACGACTATACAGTGAATTTCCGATACTCAAATTTAGACCAGTTCAATCCAGTGAAAGAGCAAATAAAACGTAATGAAATGAAATCAAAAATAAAATCTAATTAAAAATGATTGTTCGTTTATGATAAAATTTAAATTTTCTTACACTTGAATCATATTTTCAACATAAATACTGCAATATTACTTAAGATTTTAAAATGAAAAAATTTTAGCTTGTTTTAAGGGTTTTATTATTAAGTTTTTACTTGGTATCAACAAGGTATAATGAATTTAGTGTAAAATCAAAGTATAAAAGAAATTTTTTTTAGTAGATATGCGAAAGGTTTTACGTAAAAAAGATATAAGAAAACGCCAGGCCTCTGAATTTTTTATGACACCGTAAACTTCTCAAATATTGCTATTATTCCTGGTTGTTATTTGATGAGGGATACATCCATATTTGTTTTTAGCATTGATATCTGCTCCATTTGAAATAAGAATTTCGGCTGTTTCTTTGTTATTATCTATGGCTGCATAATGAAGAGAGGTCCATCCTTCTTTGTTTTTAGCATTGATATCTGCTCCATTTGAAATAAGAATTTCGGCTGTTTCTTTGCTATTATTACTGGCTGCATAATGAAGAGGGGTCCATCCTTCTTTGTTTTAGCATTGATATCTGCTCCATTTGAAATAAGAATTTCGGCTGTTTCTTTGCTATTATCCCTGGCTGCATAATGAAGAGGGATACATCCATTTTTTGTTTTAGCATTGATATCTGATCCATTTGAAATAAGAATTTCGGCTATTTCTTTGTGATTATCCCTGGCTGCATAATGAAGAGGGGTCCATCCATCTTCGTCTTTAGCATTGATATCTGCTCCTTTAGAAATAAGATATTCTAAAAGTGATGAAAGATGGAAATTCGGAGAATAAACAAAACATTTGTTGATATCATTTGTTTAGTCCAAATAAACTAAAAATGATTGGAGATTATTGTATTGAGAGCACAATTCTAAATTAATTTTTATGTTGTGTTCATTCATCAAAAACGTGACAAAATCAATATTGTGTGATATAATTGCATATTTCATGCATAGATTATCTGGTATTATAACTTTCAAGCATTCATTCATAATGTCTGGATTTCCACCCAAAAATGAATATATAAGACATTCTGAAGTGATTATTGATTGAAATTTTGTTATTAAAAACTTAAAACAATCAACAGATCCATGATAACAACATAATTCAAGTAACGAAAGACCTTCAGCTGAATATGGATATAAATCACTTTTTAATTCTTGATTTTTATCAAATCCTTCTCTTTCTGTAAAGGTTATCAATAATATTTTGTCATCATCCATAATAGATCTGTGAATTGTTTTTTGTTCGTGAATATCAGCTGTATAATGAGAAACTTCAAAATCGTTAAAAAAATTTTTCCCGTTTTCATCTAATACTATACTGTATTCTTTGTAGAAAAGGTAATTAAAAACTTTGTTGATTTCGTTGACCTGATTTAGATGGTATTCGTCAACAATTTGTTTGGCAATCGCTAAATATGACTTCATGTAGCGGTTGTTATAAATTGAAACTTGGGATATTTTATTGACAATTTCACCAGGCGAAATATGATAAGAGTCAATCAGGTTTTGTTTGATTTTTTTGTAAATTGCGTTTAATTTTTCTTCGTCATTTGTTTTCAGCCTGTACAAAGCATTGTAGACATCATTATATCCTGTAAAAATCTCCATCAATTTGTCATAATGAGTTTGGCTTGCTTTTCCCTTAGACATCAATCAAAAATTATCATACTAATGATTATTTTTGCTTCAAATGCTGTTCGGCATTAGAATCAAAAATAATCATTAGTATGATAATTACACTTTTATTGCATTTTTAACAGGCTTCACGCCTGTATAAAAACGCAATAAAAGTGTAAATTTTACGATATTGTAATCTTACATACAAATTTCGAATTTCGAAAATTTTACGATATCATAATCTTACATACAAAATGTTATTGAGTTTGGTTAATTTCTCCCTTGGACATCAATGTTATCGTAAATGTCGTACTTTTACATAAATTTCATTTTCAAAAGAAGAGCTATATTCTAATAATGGTTTGTTTCATCAACGGTTACTCCACGGATACTATGAAATTTTGCTGAATTCTTTTTTACATTCATGGGTTAGTTTAATCACTTCTATAAATTGGTTATTAAATTCTTCGTCTTTCTTTCGTTTTGAAGCTTTGTAGATCTTTTTAGCGGATTTTAAGATATAATTTGTCATGAACACTCTATTTTCTGCAATCATATTTTCAATCATCCTTACTTGATCTTTAATATATATATCATCATCTTGAATTTGAACTAAATTTTGAGCACTTGGAGCTGGTTTGAGTATAATTGGCTTAATAGATTCCTTATTAGAATTAAATGCAGATTTTTTCATTAAACTTTCATACGAATTGTATTCTTTTCTTTCAGTATTTTGTCTTGTTTTCAATTAACAAATACATTATGTATCAAAAAAAATTTTATATATATATATATAAATATATATATATAGTGTTTAAGTGGTGAACTTTGATATTTTTTTCCACACCATAGTCGTTTCACTTTTTGCATATGAACTCTATATTGATTCTGGCTAGAAACTAGAGAAATTAAAAATTTTCAATTTTTGGCCCATTAAAAGTACCTTTTTGAAAATAAAAAATATTATTATTAATTATGTGTGATACTTGACATATATTCATAAAATCAAGTGTTTTGGAGTGATTGGCAAAAAAATCTTGTCCATGCAAATGGATTTTTCATGAGAAATATGAATGCATTGTGCATCATTAAGAATCCACAGCTTTTGGATATTAAATATTGGTAAATCATAAAAAATAATAAACATATTGTTTAAAAATAAAACTAACACAAACATATATAAAATATATATAAAGTATATAAAATATATCATCCACATAGAGGTTTCATGAGTGAAGCGAATCTTTTATCTGGCATTTGGTCCAAATCTTTTCTAACAACTCGATCTGCGTTGATTGCTGTCATTCTTACTAAAGGAGCTAGTGCCCGACTCTTAACTAAAACTCCTGATGGTAAAGGACCAAATTCCAAGTTCTTGTTCTTCTTGTGAACAACAACATGATACAAATCATCATTAAATGGATAAACAATGATGTGTGCATCGTTAAAATTACTCAAAATAGTGTCTGGATCATATCCCGACTTGTTTTCACACCAAACAATGTGGACATTGTCGTTTCCAATGTGGCGCTTCTTTGCAAGCTGTTGTGGGTCGTCATCGGATGTCTTCATCAATGTAGAAACGTGGAACATGACATCGTATTCGTCATCTGAATAAAAGATAGAAAAAGGAGAAACAGATTGGTCAAGTTTCGCATTGAAATATAAATGGTCTTTCAGAGAAACAGGAGTTCCGAGGCTGCGAACAAATTTGTCGTAACTAAGAGATGCGTCTTGGTGTTTGTTCGCAAGGATCTCGTTCTGTGTAAATTGGCCATCTTTAACATACAAAACGCCGATTTTGATCTCTTCGCGTGTTCCGCTTTGGAATATCGCTTTGGTTTCACGAAGACTTGATGGAGTGCAATCGAAAACACGCATATTAGCGAATTTGTACAGCGACCAGTAGATCGGCGAGAAAGAAGGAACTTTTGAAATTATTTCACTAAATCTTGAAGTTTCCGGTGATTGGACTGAGACAAGGTTGATCGGAGGACGGACGTCAAGATTGAATTCGGTACTTTCTTTCCTCGACGATGAGAAAATTTCGAAATTTGTTGGTGATGTTTCTTGGCAATTGAACTTTTCGAAGAAATAAGTCCGAAATACATTATGATCTTCGTTTTCGATCTCATCTATAGAATCATTTTCTTCTTCTGGAAGTGAAATATTATTCTGAGAAATTACCGGTTTCTTTGAAATATTTGTGATCTTCCTTGAATCTACAAAGTTGACCGTTCTTGAGTCCAATATATGGGTTTCTTCATCGATTACGGATACTTGAAAGAGTTTTGAGTTGTCTATTGATAATATCACGTCTGTTGGCTCTTGGCGATCTGAATAATACGGTTTCTTATCGAAAATGAATGGAAAAGCTTCTACCATCGTTTGTAAGGACTTGTTATCATGTACATGCAAGGAATGAAGCTTTTTCGTCAACTTTTTGATATCAATAACTCCTAATTTGACCAAATGGCTTAAAGCAAGGAAGAGGAGCCATCTATCCCTTGGATCATCTGTTGATTCAAACTCGTCAAGCATATATTTGCAAAATTTTCTGATGAAATGGGAATTCGGCGAATTCTTGCCAATATATTGGGACGACAGCAAAGATAATAGTCTTATATCTATCTTTGAGTCATTTGAAGTGAAATAAATCTCAAACGACCTCATTATAAAATCTAATAAAGGAGAACCCGGTTCAATTGCTTCCTGGACGTAAACGGAAGCTGTAGAGTTGAAAGACTTCGCTTTAAAAGAATTTCCGAGTTGGGAAATCAAAGTTTTCTGGATAGAAAAACTTTGATTTTCGAAATCGTTGATTGAATCTCTAACAAGCTTTGGTTTATAACTATTCTTTGGCCAATTCTTACTTACAGCCTCAAGATCAAATATTTTGTCCACTTTTGGCAAATAATATCCGCAAATAACGTAAGAATTCAAAATATACTGTTCTATTTCTTCAAATGAGATGATATCAACACGTTTAACTAATATATGTAATATTAATGTGATTAATATCATCGATTGCGGAAGAAACTTAATAATTGACTGAATTGCGGATCTAAACGCCACAGAAACAGTATTATTGTCCGTGCTGCAGAGGAACTTGCAGAGAACACTTATCCAGCTATGCGCGATCATGGGATCAGCGATTGTCGATGATGCAACGCCATCTAATTTTGCAAAGTTCGAAATCGCGTCAAAAATCATTGAACTGGGACTATATTTATCCAGGTAGTATATGATCTGCGGGAAAAAGTTTTGGAACACAAAATTGTGGTTTTTCTGTAAATAAATTGGAATAATTTTCTGAATTTCGTTTAAAATGGTCAGAAATGTTTCTATTGATTGCGGCTGGAAGTTTATGAAGTTCTTGATCCATTTCAGTGCTTTATCATACGTCCAACCTATGATAACAAGTGGAGAAAAAAGAATTCTATTGAGACCTGCAAAATCTAGCACTGGTTTCAGCATTTCCTTGTTGTAAATCGACAATAACTTCATTGAAAATACGAAATTGTCGGTGAAAATTTTTTCCATATCTGGCAAAAAGTTTTGTGGTGCAGCCTTGCCTCTGGAGACCTTCCCATTCACTTTGTTAACATAACTAGTGACTGGATCAATAGAGAAATCAAACAAAATCGGTGAAAAACAGCATCCAACGATAGACATGAAAACTTGAGAGGCAAGGATAGAAACAGCTGGTGGGATTGAGTTCATACACTCTTTGGGAAGTGAAAACATATCTGCATTTTCAACTTTGAAGTTAAATAAAATATTAAAATAAAATACCAAGCCAATTATTGGAATTGTAGTGAAGAAATCCTTCACAATGCAATTTAGATCACATTGTTGGAATGATGGATGCCTATCTATGATGAACAAGTAATTATTTTGAAATTCTGACATAATTGACTGATAAACTGGGAATTTTTCTCTTTCTATTAATGAATTTCCATCTGTATAGTTCCTTACTAATGGTTGGAGACTTAAAACTGTCTTTCTCGATAATAAAATCAAGAGATTAATCATTTCTTGTGGACAATTGTTCTTAAACAAGCGTAGGACCTCTTGTTTGTACACTGTGTCTAAATTTGTCCATTTCTTGGCTAGTATATCGACTTGTTTCGGGTATTTTTTGTGATTTTCGTCTTCAATTTTGATAATTAAGTGTAAAAGGAAAAGGAAATGGGTTGGAAATGTATTTTCATGGTTAAATATCTCATAAAAGTCAATGAATTGCCTTGATTGCATCAAATCAAGGATAGAATCGTAAAATTTCGAAGGTAATGGTTGATCAAGTAATAATTGAGAGGAATTTACGTTTCCGTTGTAATAATTGAAGAATTTATAAAATACTGTCTGCGAAAGGAAGTTCAGCCAAAGCGTAATTGTCGTTGGATAATTTTCAAAGATTGCATTAAGAATTACTTCAAATCTTCGAATAAAAAAATTGACATATAAGTTCCCTTGGGTAGGAGCACCGTAATGAAAAATGTTTGAAATGGGAATTTCGAATTGATTGTGATTTATAACGGGAATATGGAAAAGTAATGAAAATAAGTCAACGTAAGCCTTCCATAGTTTATCAGTGTAGTTGTTGGATTGACTTATAAGCGTTTTTGGAAACAAATCAAAAAGAATTCGGAAATCAAAACCAGAATCTATAGAATTGGAAGATATTTTGTAATTGATTAGTTTGCTTATCGCCTTTATGTATTTAATAATTAGTCCTTCTGATGAACTGCCGCATTTTTGCTTGTAATTTAATAAATTTTCAAGTTCCGCATTAAGTAAAGCAACATATTCCATTGCAACTGTGTTCATCGTGGAGGAATCACCTAAGTCAACTGCTTTAAGTATCATATCTAGGCCATCTAATACATTTTTCATCGAAATTTCACTTTTATTCTGTCAAATTGACAAAGATTGGATATCACTTTTTGTCGGATCTTTTTGAATCAAATTAGAGATAAATGACTTATTTACAAAATTGATATGCAATCATGAATTCAGAAAAAATTGAATTCAAGAAAATTGAATTTTTGATGGCATGAAGCTGTATGCAATTTTACGGAAAATAATATCCAATTATAAAAATTTTCAAATTCAAAAAAAAATATTAAAAATGAAAGGGGCCAACCGGGAATCGAACCCGGGACCTCACGCACCCGAAGCGCGAATCATTCCGCTAGACCATTGACCCTTTTCAAATAGATATAAAAAAAATAGTATTGCCATCTATAATATCTCATTAAAGATTATTTGGATAAAATTACCATTAACGACAAATATTCATCATATTGCATAAACTTGAAATTTCCATCATAAATTAAGCCAATAATAACTCATTACGATAATATAATGTAATTTATCACGTTATATTTATGTTTTCTGCACTACTCTCCCTTGTTGGATCATTATTCTCTGCTTTGAACATCATAATTCATATTCTACTTTTCCAAAAAAAATACAAATTTTGAATTTGAACATAAATTTCTTAATTTTTCTCTTATTATTATCATTTCCAAAGAAAATTTTAAAACGTAAAAGGTGTTATTTTAGATTAATTTCAGATTCTCATCAATTTTGTCACAAAATTTTACTAAAATCCAATTTCATAATTATTTATTCTACAAACAATAAGCATTCTCATAAAATTTCTATAATCCAAAGACTAACAGAAGATATTACAGCTTAAAGAAGCCGAAAGGACTAAAATCCATTTAAATCAGATTCTTGATTTCGCGAAACTTATGAAAAAAACTTATGAATTTTAAAAGAAAACTAAACTAAATTAAAATTTAGCAGCAGCCGTAAGCGAGCATAGCCTCAGCGACGCGCTTGAAGCCAGCAAGGTTAGCACCCTGGTAAAGTGGAACGCCGTATTGTTCAGAAGCTTCGTGAGCAGCTTCGAAGATGGCGTGCATGATTTCCTTGAGCTTCTTGTCGACCTTCTCGGATGACCAAGCGAGGCGGACGGAGTTCTGTGTCATTTCGAGGCCAGAGACGGAAACACCACCAGCGTTGGCAGCCTTGCCTGGGCCGTAGTAGATGTTCTCCTTCATGTAGAGCTCGATTGTCTCGTTTGTTGATGGCATGTTAGCACCTTCAGCAACGAGCTTGACGCCGTTCTTGACCATGACTGGAACGTGTTCTGGGAAAATTTCGTTCTGTGTAGCGCATGGAAGGCCTAATTCGCATGGGATCTCGCAAGCCCAGATGGACTTTCCGTCGATGTACTCGTAGCCCTTGAGGTGTGGGAAGAGTTCAGCGATCTTCTTGAGCTCTGTACGAGCGACGTTCTTGATGTGCATGACAGCATCAAGATGCTCCTTTGTCATGCCGTCCTTGAAGAGGATAGCACCATGGGAGTCGGAAACGGAGACTGGGATAGCACCAAGCTGCATGAGCTTCTGGCAGCAGTACTGAGAAACGTTGCCGGAGCCAGAGACCATGGCGCGCTTGCCCTTGATCTCCTCACCACGAGCGCGGAGCATTTCTGTAACGAAGTAAACGAGACCGTAGCCAGTAGCTTCTGGGCGGATAAGGGAGCCACCGTATGGGATGCCCTTGCCTGTAAGGACGCCTTCGAAGACGTTCTTGATACGCTTGTACTGGCCGAACATGTAGCCGATTTCACGAGCGCCGACACCGATATCACCAGCTGGGACATCTGTGTTGCCTCCGATGTGGCGGGAAAGTTCGAGCATGAAGGACTGGCAGAATCTCATGACTTCGCCATCAGACTTGCCGGCTGGGTCGAAATCGGAACCACCCTTGCCACCACCCATTGGGAGTGTTGTAAGGGAGTTCTTGAAAACTTGTTCGAAGCCAAGGAACTTAAGGATGGAAAGGTTAACGTTGCCACGGAAGCGGCAGCCACCCTTGTATGGGCCGATTGCGGAGTTGAATTGGACACGGAAACCACGGTTGACCATCATTTCACCCTTGTCGTTAACCCATGGAACACGGAACATGATAACACGCTCTGGTTCAACGAGGGCTGGGAGGAGCTTGACGTACTTTGGTTCCTTCTCGAGAATTGGGACGAGGGATGTAAGAACTTCTGTGACAGCCTGGATGAATTCCTTCTGGTCTGGATCACGAGCACGGACGAGTTCGAGTGTCTTCTGGACTGCTTCCATTGACAAATGTGAAGTTAAATTAACAGCTTCTATTTTGAGAGGATTTTTATTGTCGAAATCTTTCAAAAATTGGAGAACGATGATGTGAAGTGATAAATGTGGATAACTCGATCCCGACCATGATTTGTTTATGTATAAATAACAATATTTTAAAGTTAAAAATGCATGATGAAGTGACATTTCAAAATATTGAATTAAACCCAATTTTTTCATCGTTTTATCATCAAAATTTGAAATTGACCAAATAAAAAATAAAATGGATATTGGGATTATATACATACAATAATACATTTTTGCAAAATATTGTATTTTTATCACCAAAAAAATACGATTATTGGTTCTCAAATAATTTTGACGATGAATTAACCAACTATCGGATTGGCTTATGAGATCTGTTTAATATGAATTAACAAATAATTCATTCCAGATATAATTTGTTGAAACATTGAGGCAAAATCGTATAATCTTGATCGCTTTCTGTTTCATACTGTTTTTACCATAATAACTCTCTATACAATCGATAATTATTTCTTCAAATTCAATTTAATTCAAAGAATCATTTCAACATGACGATTTGAAAATAGCATTTGCTGAAATAAACTGAATATTTTGAATATTCTGGCGTTATGTATAGCGTATTTCTCCACGAAGTTTGCAGTTTACTGAGATTTCATATAAAAAAATTATTTTTACTCGAATTATTCCGAACAACATTCATCCGTCACGATTTGTGTGAATAAAAAGGAATATCAACACTGTCATCCACTTTACTTGAAAAATATTTTAAAAGATATTGATTTCGAAACCGAAATTCGTTATTGGATCAATTGGATTAGAAATACATGATCAGTTCTATTTGTCAACAAACTCAAGCGTTTAAAAAATAAACATGAAATTTTTTATTTTACACTCTATACTCATATAAATTACATTATTCAGCTGGCGTGAAGGTATCAAGCAGATGCTGTAAACAATTTTCGATTTCTTCGTGGCGAGGTGTGTTTGAATCAATATTATTTAAAGTTTCGTCAATAATATCGAAGACATTCTCTTCAAATACCTTTTGGATTAGACTGAGGAAGTTCCAATCAGATTGGGATGCGTCGATAGCCTCATTAATGAGTTTTGCTACTGTAAAAACAATTTTTATCTCTCCGACCTCAACAAAGTTTGCAAGGAACATCAAAACGGATTCCGTGTAAATCTTTGTGACCGGTATCGGAGGATTATAATTATAAGTTTCAATTAATATGACAACGCTCTCTTTTATATGCAAACTTGTGCTGGAAAATGTATTGTTAAAGTCAACACTAAATAATTCTGTATATAAATGATAAAGTACACCCGGATCTTCTGAATTTTGCCTTAAACTAATAAGAGTTGCAATTACATGCTTTACTATCTTAAGATCTTTCGTAAGGTTGCCGAGTAACTCTTCAACAGTCATAAATTTTCCAATTATATCAACAATTTCTTGTCCATTCTTAATTAAAGAATTAAGAGTCTTTAAAGCCTGCTTAGAACAATCAATACTGTACGAACTAACCTTTTCTCTGATGACATTACAAATTACTTGGTTGCAAAATAGAAATCCAATGACATCTCCATTTTCATTTGCTTTTCTGAAGGCAATAAGTGCTTGAATAGTGACTTTGACGTCATCTATGTACAATGAATTACCAATAAACTCAACAATATCATCATAAATTGAAAATTTATATTCTTTCAATGGCATTTGTACGAAATATTGAAGAATAATCAATATATCTTCTCTGTATTCGTTCAAATCTTTGCTTTTAATAAGTTGTTCTATTATATTGCTTTCCATTAGTTGAATTGTGAAAGAATAATCTTTCGTATTGCAGCAATTGATCAATATATTAAAGATAGAATCGATTAGAAGATTATCTTGATGTCTTTGGTAGATAATTGTATAAATTAAATCGAAAAATTCTGATCTTAATAAAACAAATTTGAAATCTATTGTGTAATTTGCAAGGAATTCTGAAGACACGGAAGATATGCACTTTAACACATCAATAGTATACAAATCTTCTTTCAGAAACGATATTAATTTAAATGCAAAGTCAGGTTTTAACTTTGAAACAATAACAGGCCTATCTGTAACGTATACCATTAATTGCTGGAATAATTTTTCGGAATATGAGCTATTATGAATCAAATTTAATAAAAATTGAGTATCTTTTTCGCGATATCCTTGAACAATTCCACCATCATTATCATATACAGGTTCGTTCAGTTTGTTGGTGAAAATGAATGGTGAATCTTTGTATTCATCAATCATTTTCCAAAAAAAAGAAGGATTTTTGCCATGTAAAATTTTCAAAATTTCGTTTGTCTATATAAGATAGATATCTAAGCCCAATAGTCAAAGATATAGCATGCACATAAGTAGAATACCTATAATTTCAACTTTAATAAGCAAATAATATCAATAACATATCTCCACTTTGGGTTTTATTTTAGCAAGATTTATAGATTACATAATAATCCAATACTATACATTTCTATCTAACTACAATAAAATTACTCTTATGAAACACATTAAATTCACAATATGAAATCATTTCCATGAAAAGTATTCACAAATGATTGTTAAAGCATGCAATATATTCATGGACATTCAAAAGCAACATATATAGTACTGAATAATCATTAACATTATCTTTCATTTTGATGAAAATATGAATCGAATATACCAATTTAAAGATAAATAGAGATAGATTTTTAAATTCAAAACTACAAAGCAATGACAATATTTAATATTCTTCTGCTTCAGGAAGCAATGATTGGTTGATTGCTTCGAAAGATTTTTCTTCATATAACCTATTCAAGTAGTTCAATTCCATCTTCCTCTTCAACTTGGCGTAAATGTAAAGAGAAGCGAAAACAAGGGAAATGAATACAATAACAGAACAAAGAGCAATAACAATAGTAATCCAAATTTTTGCTGGCTGTACTCTTTCAATGAAAATGTACATGTCAGGATAATCATTATCACATCTTGCTGTGATATATTTAATTGCCTGAGAAACGTGAATCTTCCAGTTTTTACATGAAGAATTTTCAATATTTAAAACCAATATTTTGAATTCTTCAGTTAAATTATGAGGAATATAATTATCATTATCATCAATAACGAAATAAATATGTCCTTTCTGATTATTTGAAGTGAACTGCATATAAGGAATACTCGTTGACTTGATAGGAATATAGATATGAACATCATCAGTTCCCATCAAATCCGCTCTGAAAAATGAATCTTCCGTTGTATTAACTACATTTGCTTTGAAACAACCAACTTCATTGTAATTTTGTGAGTCAAACAAAACAGATTGTGTCGAAATAGATCCAGATGGCACTATTTCTGTATTACTTACTTTAAGATCATCAACTTCTATCTCGTTTCCTGTTAAAATATCCAATTCATTCAATATTTCAATTGATTTGAATTTGACATTAAATTTTTCAGGAATAATAAATTGAGATGGACTTGTAATCTTAAACTTGATTGATATTTCTCCAACAACATTTGAAAAAGCAATAGGACAACCTGGCTCAATAACCAATGAATTAGTTAGATTGGAATTTAATGATTCTATTGTTATAACAGAATTTGGATTTTTGTTTACCAATTTAAGATTTCCTGGGGCTTGTTCACTTAAAACAATGTTTGTTCTCCAAGGCAAATTGTTATCAATTAAGACAGTGTAGTTTTTATAGAACTTGTATTCATCAACATATATAGAATCATCGCTGAACTTGATTTCTTTCGGGCTGCAATCAATCAAATGGAAATTGTCAGAATGATAAAAAGGAACACCCCAGAACTGTGAATAATAATCAAACATTATTAGTGTTGAATTCAAACTTGTTTCCGTTGACAAAATCTTTGAATGATTTAAGGATATTGTATTAACATTGAGTGATTTCGTTCCATACAAATGAACATTTATATTACTGAAATTTATTTTTCTGAGCCCTGAAACATTCAAATTTACATGAATATTAGTATTATTATGTCCTTCTAATATTAAAGTCTTGTTAAATTTAGTGAGATCAATCATTTCCGTTGTATTATATGTGACAGCAATTGTAAGATATAACATATATCTGTTTATTTCAATAACACTAAAATTCTGAATTCTCTTGTAACCATCAAAACCATTGCAGTCTGATTTACTTTGATTATAAATACATAATCTTTGATTTATATTCGTGAGGATGTTTTATTGTCGTCTGGAAAAAGTGACAAAATTATTATTGTCGTCTAAAAAGGTGACAAATTATTATTGTCGTCTGGAAAAGTGACAAAATTATCATTGTCGTCTAAAAAATAGATTTTTCAAGCATGTTTCGGTACCTAAATAAAGGAAGAACATCAATTCCATCTATGTATATAGTATGCAAACACGCATGATATATGGAGTAGCTCTTTATCTGGCTAAAAATCCTATTATTTGAAAATTCGCATTGTCGTCTAAAACCGCCAGACGACAATAATAATACCCCTATATTCGTTTTATTGTAATAACAAATATCAATTGAATATCTTCCTTCTGCATTTGGCTCTGAGTTATAAGTAACTTTAATGAACTTTAAGGGTGCACACGAGAGGATCATGTAAACTTCAGAATTTAGAACCTTATTTTTAGGCATTATCTTGGCTACCTATTTAGGCTCGAAAAGCAAAAAATATCAAAAAATACAACTTGACTCCATTATGACCCTTTCATGGAGGTAGTTTTTATCCGCTAGTATTTTCCTTTGAATCTCTTTACAATTCGAAATCAAATTCAAAACTCAGTAGAAGAAAGGAAGAATCGACTTACTACGGTTGTAATACGAATAAATACATATATTTAATTATTTTTATTTACATAATAATTGTTTGAAGCTCATATTCCATCAAATTTTTAAATAAAAACATTAAAATGTTGAAAATGTTCATATATTTTAATAGGGTTTTGACACTTTATTGAGGAATTACTACATACATAGTCGAACTGAACTTGATATTTTGAAATTTAAATTATTTATCAAAATTAAAATTTAACTTGAAATTTATAATTATTTAGTCATATTTTGCATAATTCTAAGTAGATTTTGTAAAAAATCAAGAAAGAAAAATTTTAAGGGTGGCTTCCGACCAAATTGTCACTTTTTAGCCCAAGTGAGAAAATTTCGTAATTTATAACCAAGTTTTTTAAAATCTATATTTAATAAAGATTCTATTTTTCTTATTAAATTTCAAAAATGAGGGGGTTCGGAATCGTCCACAAATTGCCGAAGAGTGTGGGACAAACTATCCAGTGTCACTTTTTTATTAACCTTATTTTAAAAAATTAATAAAATAATAATAAAAAATTATTTGAATCTTTTACATTAATTGTTTCTTTTTTAAAAGTACCTTTAAAGTACAATAAACAAGATTTGAATCTATTGATCCTTGTTGCAAACTTGAATATATTGCTTCAAGCATTTTTGAGAGTAGCCCATGCTAGCTTTTATCTCTTCTTGGATACCAAACTGGAGGAGCTCCATAGTGTTGAATATCACGGGCTCCATACAACAAATTGAATAAGGTCTTTCAAAATTTGAAGGAAATGGTCCATCATTGAATGTAGTGGCCGGGAATTGAATGACATACAGATAGTTTGAGGAAATTTGTTATAAATTATAATATAATTGAAGAATTAATTATCAAAACAAGTCTAAGAGCCATTTGTCAGATTTTCCCGAAATGCAAGGTTAAGATTTTAGCAGCGACTAACTTTGAGTGTACATATATAATTGTTATACTGAGTACTTTCTATCTGTGTTACTTATTTGAGTCTAAGAGCCATTTGTCAGATTTTCCCGAAATGCAAGGTTAAGATTTTAGCAGCGACTAACTTTGAGTGTACATATATAATTGTTATACTGAGTACTTTCTATCTGTGTTACTTATTTGAGTCTAAGAGCCATTTGTCAGATTTTCCCGAAATGCAAGGTTAAGATTTTAGCAGCGACTAACTTTGAGTGTACATATATAATTGTTATACTGAGTACTTTCTATCTGTGTTACTTATTTGAGTCTAAGAGTCATTTCTACCATAGAACTAGATATTGTCTCTCATTAAATATATATAACTGTAAACTGCTTAATTCATTTATCTATTTAGATAAAATTATATTTATATAAGATTTCATGTTATTATTTCATCTTTATTATTTTTTTTTATTCCTTTGAAAAGTGACACTGGATAGTTTGTCCCTTTCTCAATTGCCGAAAGGGTTTTTGCCAGTTTTGAATCCGCTTATTTTTATCGACCAAAATTATAATAAATATAATTTTCGATAAGTATTCTACCCAAATGATTCTTCAAAAAATTATTTTTCGGATTTTATTCCGTAAAAAAACGTTACAGAAAACGCCTATAAAATTTCGAATTTTCCCTAAAAAATTCAGTGCAGGTCGATTTAAGAGATTTTTCAAAAATAATCATATCAGTAGATAGGGTATAATATAGAGAAGCTTTATGAATAACTTAAAATCCGGGAAACTCAATATTCAACGAGAAAAACGCTTAACGAATCTCACTTTTGGTGTAAACATCACAAAAAATTGAGAGGGCTTTCTGGTCGGAAGCCTCCCTTAACGTGCTTTATTTTTTCTTTTTTATAATAATACATATTATTATATAATTAACATATTCATAATGTTTCACCCTTTCAAAAATATAATCCTCCTCCTCCTCTCAAATAAACGTACATACGGGTGGCCTCTTTTTTCAAAAAATTAAAATTTGAAATTTTGGGCTCAAATATTAGAGATTTTTTCAACCTTCAACGATATATGTTGTCTATATCAGACCTCCTTTCTTTTTGATACTTAACATTGTTCCTAAATCTTAGCCGTTAAGGCTGTTCTGAAAATATTTTTTTTTTCGAAAAAATTCGAAAAAAATTCTTAAAATTCAAAAAACCCTTAATTCCTGAGGATTTTGGAAAAAAGTTTTTACATGAACATGTGTATATTATATGAAGTATATTGATAAGGTAAAAATCAAATTTTATTGCATATTCATCGAGAAAATAAACTAACGAATCCCTCAAAATTGAGAGGGTAATCCTCCTCCTCTCAAATAAACGTACATACGGGTGCACCCTTAAAGCATCATTTTCTTTTTCATACCATGTTATATTGTGATAGAAATCTTTTTGCTTCGAACAAAGAACATTTTTGTAAGCTTTATTCAGACTAATGCTTCTGAAATCATATATTAAATAATTAAATGTTTTATCCCCTGAAAATTTGTCAATAATTAATGTTGGATATACATTTTCATGGTTTTGAGCGTAATAAATTGTAACTGTTTGATAAATAAAGACTTCTTCGATATATGATGATACACTATGTATACGTAATTCTTTGTCTATATCTATCTTACCAAAAAATGATGAATTACGCGAATCAATGTCAGTAAAATTTGCAATTGAGTTTTCGAGTGATGAAAAAATCGTGTTACTACATTTAATTGTTTTAATTATAGATGCTCCACCTGCAGGAAGTGTGTTATATGTGATATATGAGTTTTTTGAATTAATACTTGATAATGTAGAACCTTCAAGTAGAGTTATATCAGCAGTTGTGTTTTCAATGTTCAAATTAATGATGCCTGATTCGGAATTAGTTACGTAATTCAATTTATGACTGGTTTTAATATTAATATTAAATCTTGAAACTTTGTCGAACTTCGGGAAGTGGTCTACGTATACGTTATAGTCATGCTTCAAGCAAAAATTCAAGTTAGAATTGAGAACGGAGTGTGACATTAGGAACATCCACATTTTCAACGAACAATCAGGGGAAACCAAGTGAGAAGTTATATCCAAACCGCAGCTAAACATGGAAATAGATAGGAAATTGTCATTATCATTGAGATAATACGTAAATCCGTGGTATTGCATCGCAAAATCAACATTTCCTGTGATATTGAAGAATTCTAAATCAACAGTTTGATCTATTGCACCAATAGAAATCATGTATTTCGTATTATAAACATCAGTGGCATAGTAAATCTTAATTGTTTTTGACACTATATTGGATAAAGCCGCAATTGATTTAAAATCAGTAATAAGTTTTATTACATGAACATTTAATCGGTTATTACCTAGTATTTTGAAGTTACGTAATTCTAAATTTTGTGAAATTAGCATATATTTCGATGGTCGTATAACAACGTTACTAAGTTTGATGCATATATCGACTGCAAAGTTGAAAAGACCATCCATTATGACACGCTTTTGTTCGCCAATTCCTTCAAGTGTTAATTTGGCTGCAGTTCTTGCTTTAATCAATTGAAATATGGAGTCTGACGTTCCATGTCATCAACAAATATAAATGAAATGTATTTTGCGTTTTCACAATTTGTATTTAATATATCTCTGAGTGTTGTATTGAATTCATTGATATTTAGATAAAGATTTACATTTGACGGACATGATGTTAAGTTGTCGGTATAGACACAACAACATAAGTCCATCAAATACTCAGAAATTAAAAACAAAAACATAGGAAAATAGATTTGTCAGATTGACAGCAAATTTGAAAGAGAGATAAATATTTTTGTAAACCTCATTGAAAATTATTTCATCGATTTTTTATAATATTTATAATATCTAATAAAAATTTTCTTTCGGATTATTTCTAAACCACATTTTTTCTAAAAAAAATCTGAAAAAGAAAAATTTAGGGGCAGGCCGGAATCGAACCGACTACCCAGGGATCTGCAATCCCTTGCTCTACCGGTGAGCTACTACCCCTTCACATTAAATATGTTTTTTAATATATTATTATAACTATGATTTATTTGAATTTCTTTTTTGACTCTATTTTTTCAAATTTTTTTATGGAATTGAAACAATCCAGCCAGAATAATACTGCTGGAGATATTTCAATCAAACCATTCACTTCATATGACTCTAATATTTATCTCAAACATCCTCATTCTCTCTCATATTCTTCTAATTTCATTTTTCTTTCCTCAAATTTTATTACAATCGACCAATCTGATGCCAAATATTATGACAAATATTATAAACAGCAAAACCAGAGTTCAAAAATTGACATTGATTCAAAAAATTACAAATTTTTCCCAATAACAGATCTAAAATCATCATATATACTCGCATATTATCAAAAAGAAATAAGAATCTACAACCAAGGTTTTAATCTATTAAAACAGATTATTTTCGAAGGAAATATTTCTCATCTTTGCCAGCTTCCATCAGAAAAGCAGCCAAGTGCTTTATTCTTATCTAACAATAGCATATACTTACTAGATTCCGATAAAATTCAAAAAATTTCAGATGATACTTTTGTTGATGATATTTGCGCAATTTCATGTGGAACAATCATATACAAATCCAGGAATGCACTTTATAAGCAGAATGTTATTAATAAACAAACTCGAACAGAACTTCCACCTCTTGTTCCAAATTTTCAAAGAATTTTAAAGATATTCTCATTTAACTTAGCTCACATAGGTATTATATCCCAAGACATATACAACAAATCAATCATTTTTGTTCAAATTGTACATTTTTCCGCTGATGGAAAAATATTGAAATCATTTGTATGCAAACACACACTTTCGCTACAGATCCCAGATAATATTAACTTTGATGTTGCAACTTTCACAACTTCTTGTGTTTTTTGCATTTTTAATACAAAAATCGGATTTATTAAGTTTTATCAATGCCCAATTCTCAGTTTATTTAAAGAGATAGGTACTATTCCAGCAATCAAGCCTTCAGATGTCATTTCTATTGATATTTCTGATGATAAAATTATATTCCATTCAAAGAAAGCGGATTCAGATAAAGTTGAAGCCAAAATATATACAATTGGCCATAACCAATACTCCTTACCATATCCAAATCCACTAGCTCTTCAGTTTATGGCAGATCAAAGAATTATTCCTTTGATAAAAGTTGCAGAAACAGAAGCAACAAATATATATGAAGAAGAAACACATGTCGAAGAAAGTACTGCAGTTAAACCAGCTGAAACAGAAAAAGTAGAAAATCAACCTATCAAATCCACAAAAGAAGACAAACAGAACGAGCCAGTACCACAACAAGCTCCTCCAACACAAGTACAGATCATTAATCAGCCACAAGTTGTTTCTAAAGCCCAAATTCCTAAAATTGATCCAGAAATTTTCAGAAAACTCCTTGAAGAAGAGAAAGCGAAGATAATATCCGAACTCATGACCGAAATCAATAAAGATCTGACCGAATTTATTAAATTCAAACTTCCAAATGTTAAGAATTTAATAAAAGATGTAAATACATTAAGAAAACAATTCGAAGACTGCATAGTACAATATCTATTGTATGATGCGAGAATAAATGCTCAAAAACCCGTAGAAGAAGACGTTTTATGTGAAGATGACTCATCAGATCACGAAGAACCCACAAAAGAGTATGATTTAAACGAAGAACAATCTGTTGAAGATGAAGATGTCTTATGTCATTCAGAAATTTACGAAGATGCCATTGAATTAAGAAAGCAATTGAAGTTTTCAGTTCCACACCGTAGGAAAACTTCAGTTGCTAGGCGACTCAGACGTATTATCCATTAATAAGGGATTTTACTCAAATTTTATTAATATAATATTTTTTTGTTTTTTATTATCTTATAATACTAATAAAACTAAACTTTAATCTTTGTATCTAAGCATTCTGTTTACAAGAATCTTCTTTTTTTTTTATAAATAATTATCAAGAATTTGTAACACAATATCCTATAAGTTTATATAAAACATAAACAAAGAGAATATGGGAGGGATTCATCCACAACAAAGGCATCGACCAAAATTGTTCATATTATGCTAGATGATTAAGTGAATTCAATTAATTAATGTGGTTGATTTCAATTTCTAGAATAATTCAAGGTATTTTAAGTGTTGCCAATTTGGAGTAGATTTCAAGAATAATTCAAGTTCTTTCATGTAAGAAAGAATTTTTTTTTCTTTCCGAAATGAGAAAGAATCGAGGTGGGAAGAACAAAAATAAGAAAGAAGGTAATTTAGATCTTCAAAACTTAGAGAGATTGCAACAAATATTTGATTCGGTTAGTACAAAGAATGTTAGAATATCAACAAGCGACATTGTAAATTTTTATGATAATATTCAATGCGTTGATGCAGTTGCTGCATTAATTTCTTTTTACAATGACGAAATGCCTCAAAATCGAGCTGCATATGTCAATCTTGCCCATGAAGTTTCCCAAAGATTTCAAAATTATCTATGGGCCTCTTTACTTATGATATCAAGTGGCCAACTTTTGTATTCCTTATATCTTAAGGGCTCCATTACTTTACAGCAAGCCAGAAAAAGATGTTCAATTGAAAAACGAATTTACTATTTCTTCGCGAAAGAACTCGGAATTCCTCATTACTATCCTGAATACCAGTATATATTCAGCTTTACGCCAGTTACAAACAACGAAACTCGTGATGATACAGAAGATAACGCTGCCAGCCTTGTTAGAGCAGATTTACTCGATCAATACTGGCTAACTTACGATAATTTACGCAATACAGGATATTTGAACGACTCAATACAAGGATATATCATTAGCAATGACGTTGATCATGTTATTGACCTTGCAAATGACGCAAAATTCGATCCAACGGAAAGATTCGAGTCATCTCCATTTTCAAATACAAAACGAACATTCAACTACCTCGAATTTTCCGCTTTTTACGGATCATTTGATTCATTTAATTATTTCATCGGAAGAGGACTCAAAGTTACAAAACAAGTTGTTTACGATGCCGTATTTGGTGAAAACAAAGACATTGTTGAGTATTGCAGTAAAAATGGCGGTGATTTCGAAGGAATTATTTCATTTGCCATTTCACATCATAAAAACACAATTCTTACATGGTTAATGACCAACTACAACCAAGAATACACTCCTTTGGACTGTATAAAAGGCCAGAACCTTCAATTTTTGAAGAAATCAAATATGATTTTTTCTCCTGAATGTTTGTATTATGCGGCACGTTCAGGATACGTTCCTTTGGCTAAATACGTCATGGAGAATATCCAGGATTACGAATACAAGGATGAGAACGGCGATACAAGTCTAATTATCGCGACAAGATTCGGTTTTTATGAAATGTGTCACTTTTTGGTCAAAAACGGTTGTAATGTCAATGCCAAAGGAAAGAATGGCGAGACACCATTGTATATTGCCGGTATATTAGGTATTAATGAGTTAGTTGTCTTCTATTTGAGCGAAGGCGCTGATTTTCGTGAAATTACTGACAAAAACGAAACAGTTTTGAATGCATTGGCATTTAGTGGCAACAAAGACTCTGTTTTAGCATTAATGTCTTACGGAATGGACTTGAATACTAATCCGATCTCTCCTTTATACACAAGTGTTGTCGATGGAAATTTGTTGATGATGGATTTCTTTTTGAACAAAGGAGCAAATCCAAATAAAAAACATCCATTTACTGGAGAAACTCCACTCCACAAAGCACTCCTTAAATTCGATTTCAGATATACAACAACACTACTTGAAAGAGGTGCGGATATCTTCATAGAAGATAACAAAGGAATTCCGCCAATCGCTGTTGCTTATATAAGAGGAGATCCAAGAATTACGGCGGTTTTGACAAAGAAAAACCGTCCGAATTTGAGACAATCGTTCAAAGATGGAAAGACATTTTTGCACTATGCAGCCATGGCAAACAATACAACAGGTTTGGACTATTTACTCAATAAAATACATTTGAATCCAAACCAAGTTGACAAAGAAATGAATTCTCCGCTTTTTTACGCTTTGGAAAAAAGGAATTTGGAAAACGCTGAGTTCTTGTTGAATCATGGTGCAGATATAAACGTAAGAGATGCACAAGGACAAACACTTTTGCATTACTTCGTCAGAAGCAACGATAAAGAAATTGTCACGTTTCTAATTGATCATAAAATATTAATGGATGAATTAGACATGAATCACATGACTTGTTTCGAGTTAGCAGCGGAGCTTGACAGGAAAGAGATCATTAATATTCTTATTGATAAAGGTGCTTTGTTTATGACACATCTTTCTTTCACAACTCCTGCACACATCGCAACTAAAACAGATAATTTGGAGTTGGTTAAAAAATTCGTTGATTTGGGATTTGAAATTGATTTCGCTGATGAAAACAATCAAACAATGCTTCATGTTGCTGCAATTTATAGTGCAATGAATGTAATGATTTATTTACTTAATAAAATGGCTGATGTAACATTGAAAGATGACAATGGAGATACTCCTCTTTCTTTGGCAGTCAAAAACAATCATTATGATGCAGCAAAACTACTTCTTAATGAAAAAAGTGATCCGAATACAAGAGATAAAGATGAGTTCCCATTAGCAGCATGGTGCGTAAAATGTGATAGAAAAGATCTGTTCAAACTTTTGTCAAATTACGGTTTAGACACAAATTTGAGAGTTGATTTGACAAAAGGTGACAATTTATTAATTTATGCCGTTAGTATTAAAAGGAGCGACTGGATTTCTATGTTGATAAACAGCGGAATCGACAAAAACGGCAAAAACAACAAAGGACAAACCGCTCTTATTTTAGCAGCCGAAATGAAAAACGAAGCATCAATTAGAGAACTTGTAAATGGAGGTTGCGATGTAAATATCCAAAATTCAAAGGGAATTACAGCGGTTTCCATCGTCATTGAGAAAGATCTATACAGAATACTTCCTATGATGATATCTGCTGGTGCTGATTTAACAATTCCTGATGAAGAAGGAACAACTCCAATTGAATTAGTTTCTTCTGACAAAACCGTAGAAGTTTTGACAAATGCTTTATCGACAGGATATGACATCAACAGAAAAGTTGATGGAGAAAACACTCATCTCTTATTGGCAACGTTCGAACAAAGGAGTGGTTTGCTATCTTTCTTGTTAAAGAACAAAGCTGATACACAAAGATCAGATATCCATAGAAGAACAGCTCTTTATCACGCAGTTATTATGAATGAATACGAAATTGCTTACATTCTAATGAAGAATGGCGCTGATCCAAATTATCCATGTGATGATGGAAGAACACCTCTTAACATGGCAACAGAAATGGATAATCTTGCAATGCAAATAATATTAGGATTTCAACCAAAACAAATTCCAGAAGAAAAGAAAGAAGAAATCCAAGAAATTCTTGATTTTTGCGATGAAAAATACAAGAAATATCAAAATTATTTCAATGATTTCAGTGATGACGATGATTCCAAGAAATCTATGAATGATAATTCTGATGAAGATGATGAAAACAAAGAGGAGGAAGAAGCTGTTGACGAAGAAGGAAAGAAATATGTCCTCAAAAGAGGAGGTCGTCGTGGAACAACAAAAGAACAAATTCTCAAAAAGAAAGCAGAGAAAGAAAGAAAAGAACTCAAAAAGAGAATAAGAAAACAAATCAGAAAATACGAAAGAGAAGAACAAAAGAAAGCAAAGAAGAGAGAAAAACTAAGATTAGAATTAGAAAATAGAATCGCAAAAAGAAAAAGAAAATACGAAAATAATGAAGAAGAAAGTGACGATGAAAGTCATGAAGAAGAGGACATAATCGAAATCGTGACAAAGAAAGCACCACCAAAGCCTAAGAGAAAGCTGAATTTGCAAAATTATAATGATAACAAACATTATAAGAATTATGAAAACAAATTTAGTGATTTGGAGTATATTTTGGAACTAATTCTTGCATTAGTTATTATTATATTGATCGCTCGTTACATTAAGAAGCTGGGATATTAAGTTTTATTTTTGAATTTTTTTTGAATTTTTTTTTGATGTTGATTTGTTATATTAAAATTAAAGTAAAGTTTTTATTATTTTTCATTAGATCTCATTTTGATCATATGAATTTGGATCATATCTACCGATTGATCGGTGTTTATTTATTTATCTTGCCGGGGCCCTCAGAAAAATTGAAAAGATTTGTGAAAATAGGCGTGTAAAAATATGTTCACCGTCCATATGCGAATATTCGAGCGGATTACCTATTGATTTGAATGCATGGCTTATGGGGAGTCATGAAAGAATAATCATGATTTCGTACGGTGAAATTTTTCTATGGCCCTCCTCTTCTGAAAAATAATTACCGTTTTTTGCAAAGTTCTTGTGTCAAGATCATATTAATATGCAAAATTCAAACAAAATATAGTCCTTAAACTTCTGAGGGTTTATGTTCTGAAAACAATTTTCAATGAAAAATCAATTTTCAGATATGTTAATAAGGACTATTTAATTTCAATAATTAAAAAGTTCGACAATTCCTCTTAATTTTTTTTGATAAAAATATTGAAGTATAAAATGTAAGGTTTGTTAGTTACATGTTAATCTGTGAAATCTACTTTTGAATCCATTTCAATAATTTGAATAAGCTTCCGATTACTGAAAAATTAATATATCATCTATTTCTGTTAATATGGCGTTCATTTTGAAATAGATTTTTCTCAAAAACGAACTTTTCAATGAAAATATGGACTTAAGTATTAATATTAATAATCTATTACAGACTGCAAATACAAATTATAAAAAATTAAGAGAAAAGATTTTCAATCACTCTCAAATAGAAGTATGGTTACATATTGAAGTGTTTTATTTGTGCAATTAATATATAATAAAATTTTCACTTTTACTTCCGTGCCATGTAAAAAAAATTTTTTTTAATGATGATGAAAAGGAACTGGAAAGATATGAATCTTTCTTCCTTTTCTAATCGAAGTTTTAACAGATTTAGCTTATCCAAGCGCAAACAATATAAGTTCGCAAACCCATTATTGCTCAATCCAGCTCCAATAACGAGATCTGAAACAATACCTCAGTATAAACCGGAAGAAGAGACTCGAGAAAACATTTCTCTATCAGAATTCGCAAGTGATACGATCAATGATATGTCTCCTGAAGAAAAGATTCCATTAACTTTAGCAATTACTTCGAGTCGAAACTTTTTTTCATCAACACTCGTAAATTTCGAAAATGACATTCTACCTGATGTTTCAGACGCATCCTTTGAAAGAATATTGAAATATAAATTAAATATATGCACAGATATTTATGATTTTGATAGTTGTGATCCTTGTGTTTCAACATTGAGAGAGCAGAAGACTACAGTACTACGCGAATTGTGCACATTATTCGATAACCCAGAGAAATCTACACAGTTATCATCAACATCTCGTCAATTAATTTGGAAAGTTTTATATACAAACATTTTTGATCAAGAACCGCGCTTTCCATCAAAGTTTTCTTCATTTATGTATACAGTTCAGATCATTGACCCAATGTGGCCTCATTTAAGCCTTGCATTTCAAATTTTAAATAAATATGTCACATATTTTCCAAATGACAAATGCCTTACAACGGATGTAATCAAGCGAGCCGTATACCTGACCAATCTCCCCGATCCAAACGTCCGAGGAAAGTTATTATCTTTTTTGAAATTAATTCTCGACAAAAGACTCGATTATTTTCATACCATTACCAAAGCAGCAGGTGACCAACTCATGGGCATCGTCAATGACATCTCTCCTCCTTACTGCGCCACTCCTTTGCTTCAATTATTAGTTACATTATACCAGAAGACGAACCAAAGGCCTCCGTCCGCCTTCAACAAGGTTGTTCAATACGCAGCACTTCCGCTATTGTCTTCCCAGTATTATTCGACGTTTGCAAGCTCATTTAACGGATTTGTTGTCGGATTACTTTCTGTCAGCCAAGATCAGAACCAAATCCTTCCCAAACTAAGAGATGGAGCCAAGAAAGGATCATTTGACAAGCCGATCTTGAAGCAAACAAAATCTGCAAATTCTCAACTGCTTTCTTTCAATTCTATTGGCAGATGCAAGGTCTCCAAGCTAACAGATAACGATGTATATACCGCTCTTGATAAATACTGGCCTAGAACGCGCGGAACAAAAGAATTGCCATTTTTAGAAACTTTGTTAGTGACAATGGACGCAACAACCCACATATTAACGACATCTAAGGTCGAGAGAATATGTAACTTCCTTGCAAACCTTCTAAAAGCCGAAAATATCAAAGTTAATAATCGAATTTTGGCAATTTTCAAGCCACCGACACAGCCGAAGTGGGTTAAGATGTTTTCCAAGACTGTTACTGACGTTTTTACCCCTGTAATGATCAAATTGAAGAATTCAAACAATGTAAGTTGCGAAGACAAAGGAATTACTACTGCTCTTCAGGAAATTCTCAATCTGGGAAGAAAGACAGATGCTGTTCTACCAGATTTTGTTGATAAAAAGGATAAAAAAGTTGATAGAGTTGATATGTGGGTCGCTTTATCACAATGTGCAGTTCTTAATGGATTTAAGCATGACCACAGTAAGTTTAAGTCCTCTGTTGTTAATGAAAAGGACTGTTTGCCTTCACAGGCTCATTTTATGCCTTGTATACGATTGTAATTAATAGATTTGTTTAATAAATTGTGTTTATTTACTCTACATATTTCTTATAGAACTATTATTGTTTTTTTTTTAAAGGTGATTTAAATTTTTTGAATTTGATAAAAACATTTTCATGGTTTAAATCTCCTTATCTTATCAGAAATCTGAAAAAACTGAGTTGGGGTTGTAGCTTGTGAGAATTTGCTTGTTAATAAAATCTCATAAAAATCAAAATGTTAATGAAGTAACATAATTTCATTTTAATAATTTCTTGCATGCTGAAAAAGCATTAAACATTTAACCAAATGTTATATGAGCGTAACTCCTCAATTTTTAGATATCTCATATTATGAGATAGTTTAAGTAGTTCTTTCTCGTCATGTAAAAATATTTATATGAATCTTCCTAGAGTAATATGTATCTTGGTGGACTCACTCATATAACTAGTATATGTGTGCTGAATGAGGATAAATAGATCGCCTTGAAAGAATTAAATTTGGAGTCCATGATTTTTTTTTGCTAATCATTATAAATGAATTTATTAATATCGTACAGGTAAAATGCACTATTTTTATTTTAAAAAGTTTCAAAGGGACCCAAATATGAAAAGAAAATTATTTTCTAGAGTCCAGAGTCAAAATTTATTTATGACTCATATGAAAAATTTGTTGTACAAATATTAGCATTTCCAAATTAAAATATTTTTGTATATATTTTTATAAAAATTAAAATGTTGTTTTAACATTAGTTTACTGTCAGAAAAGAATAATCCATTAATAGATATTGCTAAATGTATCTCGGTTTTTGTAAGAAACGTTATATTTTGAAATATTTAGATTAATAAAGCTTAGAATCTTACTTCAACTTCGAAATCATCATGGAATGGGTCATCTTTTTTATTTTGAGGAAGTAATGCCCATTGTGGTGTTGGTTCTTGTGGTTCATTTTTTTCACCTTTTGACTTCTTTGAATCTTTGCTCTTCTTTTTATCTTCGTTCTTATCTCTAGAACGATTCCTTGACTTGGAATCTTCATCGCGGCTTTTGCTTCCATGCTTGCTCTTTTCACTAGAACTCATTTTTTAATATTGAGATATTTGAGCAATTGTCAAATTATTTTTATTTTTTGATATGTAATCTCTCAAGTTTCTGATGAATTTTTCAATACAATGAGCCGAAGCGTAATGTAGTATACTATATGTTGTTAATTATTTCTCACCAAAATATTCTGAATTATAAGGATTAATCTTGGAAATATTAAGATCAAAGATGAAACTTTAATATTTTGCAATAATACATGTAAAAATCAATATGATTCATAATTTTAATGCATATAATAACCTAATAAATAATAGAATTCGTATAAAAATTTATCAAAATATTATTATTGAAATATAGCAATATATAGTCGGCATTTGTAATAATTGCATCATTTTTATTAAAAATTAGTATTTGTAAGACATACTACTCTTGTAAAAATGCAGTCATAATTATTGTTGTAAAAACGATATTTATTTATAGATGTATAGAAATAAATTTATGCATTCTTGCAGGCATCAGCAATCTTCTTGATAGAATAACCTTGCTTCTGGATTGCCATATTGTAAATGGCTGCTGGGATTGATCCGGCTGGATCTGTGTGAACAAGGAATGTTAACTTAACATTTCCTGGTTTCTCCTTGTCCTGCTCAGCGATATGTGCTTGGAAAATGATTTTTCCACGGACATACTTCTTGGAAGCTGGTTTAACATCATCATCAACAGCATTTGTAACAAAGACATATCTTTCGCCATCCTTGTACATTCTGCGGATGTTGATGAAATCTCTGTTGGAAACAAGGCGGGAGCCAGACTCAACAGCATAATAATAGAACTTTGAGTCATGATCATCATGTGTTTCAGCAAATGCGTACTTTTCAGCAAATCCATCAGCTGGATGTCCTTCTTCAATCTTTGGAATTGTCTGCAAGTTCTTGACAACAGCTTCAATTGTAGCTGGAATGGAAATGTAGCTCATTAATTGACTGTATGAGCTGTCTGGGACGTATCTTGTGAAGATTTTAAGGTCTCCATCTTCTTTGCTGAGCTTCCAATCAGCAGACTTCTCAACTTCTAAAACTTCATGAAGCTTCTTCTCATTGGCCTCGAAGAATTTGGAAACGTCTGGTGTTGACATCTGAAAAATGAAGTGAATATAAAAGTTGATAAAATTTGATTGCTGAACCGTCCAATTTTTGAATAAATCATTTAAAATTTAAGTACGATAAAGATAAATGAAATTTGGAATTAATAATCTATACATATAATTAATCAACTTTTCTTTCAACTGCGGTATGACCAATCATCTCAATTGAGTGAATTGATCATTACTTTAAATTGAATAATCTGTCAAAAAGAAGATATTGATTGGTCGTTATAATAATTCAAATCATTATATGTTTTTTATATATGCCAACCAGACTATCAAAATTGAAAAGTTTACAATATTAATCTTTTTGTAATGTTTTTTACATGTTTTTGTAAGCAAACAAAGCCAAAACATTAATATGGTTGTAATTAATACATTCATCTTGATATTCAATCATTCGAGCTTGGTTTTGAACTTTAAGGGTGCACACGAGAGGATCATGTAAACTTCAGAATTTAGAACCTTATTTTTAGGCATTATCTTGGCTACCTATTTAGGCTCGAAAAGCAAAAAATATCAAAAAATACAACTTGAGTCCATTATGACCCTTTCATGGAGGTAGTTTTTATCCGCTAGTATTTTCCCTTTGAATCTCTTTACAATTTGAAATCAAATTCAAAACTCAGTAGAAGAAAGGAAGAATCGACTTACTACGGTTGTAATACGAATAAATACATATATTTAATTATTTTTATTTACATAATAATTGTTTGAAGCTCATATTCCATCAAATTTTTAAATAAAAACATTAAAATGTTGAAAATGTTCATATATTTTAATAGGGTTTTGGCACTTTATTGAGGAATTACTACATACATAGTCGAACTGAACTTGATATTTTGAAATTTAAATTATTTATCAAAATTAAAATTTAACTTGAAATTTATAATTATTTAGTCATATTTTGCATAATTCTAAGTAGATTTTGTAAAAAATCAAGAAAGAAAAATTTTAACGTGCTTTATTTTTTCTTTTTTATAATAATACATATTATTATATAATTAACATATTCATAATGTTTCACCCTTTCAAAAATATAATCCTCCTCCTCTCAAATAAACGTACATACGGGTGGCCTCTTTTTTCAAAAAATTAAAATTTGAAATTTTGGGCTCAAATATTAGAGATTTTTTCAACCTTCAACGATATATGTTGTCTATATCAAACCTCCTTTCTTTTTGATACTTAACATTATTCATGTGATTTTATCCCAAGCATATGGGGATTCTAAATTTTTGTCCCTATCGTTATCCCAATTGAATTTTTTTGGAATTTAAAATTTTTTTTCTACATGTAAACTTAAATTTTAATTTTTACCACTAAAATGCAATATTTCAACAAATTAATGAGTAATAATATTTTAATTTATAATAATTATTATAAATCTCCTCAATTTAATGTAATTATTGTATTAATTTTTGTTGAAAATATAAAATCTTCAAGTAAATGATGTGAATTTAATATTTTTAGAATGTTGTTTAATTGTACTATATTATGCATGTAAAATTTTGTTACAATACATTTTATATGGGATCCCCATTGCCCAATTGAGAGAAAATTGAGAGGTGGGATTGGGCTAGCCCAATTCAAAATATCCCAGGTGGAAATAAAAAAATTAACAATTCAACATAAAAAAGCATCTTAAATAATAATGATAAAAAATTTTGTATGAATTTCAATCAAATTTGTTTTTATTCAACTTAAGAAATCACTTCATTAATGAAAGAAGTCGGGTTCACAACATATCCCGATCTTGAAACGAAACAACATGTTTACATGCGATATAAACATGAAGGTAGTCCCAAGTGGTATGTAAAATGCAATGAACTTGTGACACGATCTGATGGCGTAGTTTGCCGGTGTTCAATGCAAAAAAAGGGAGGATCATTATAAAAACTGGCTTAAGACTCATGTTCACACATGTCAGGCCGGAGAAGCATTATCGCAGCAAACATTACTTGACTACTACAATAAAGGTAAACAGTCAAATGATCCAATGTTGGATTTATCGAATGTATACGATGAAATGACCATTTTTACCGGTAAGTTCAACCTTGCCTTAGACACATTTGCATCCCAGAATTCACGCATGTTGCAAAGATTTTCATTATGTTCACAATATATCAAATGATGAACAAATACAAACAACTTCAGTCAGCTAATATCAATCCGGAAAAACTTGCTGACAAATTATATAAGCCTATTACACGTGATGAGATCCGAAATAGAATGATTGCTATTGCTAACAGCATACACCTTGCTAAAGTTCTCGAATTCGCCAAAAAAGCATACACTTGTGTCGCCATCGATGAAGGCAAGACACATGATTACCACAATCTTGATTTTGTCTTAACAAATCCGTTGGAGCAAATGAAGCCATACCCAGTAGAGGCGATAGATATGAAGGATGGCCAGACAAGTCAGGATTATAAATCCGCAATAACAGCAGGATTTAACAGAATTGACATTAGGAAAGTCAAGATAGGTAGTGTGGTAGTTGACGGAGGACCAGCACAGTTAAAATGCTTCAAAGATACTTGGAATGATTCATTCTATCATGACAGAGATCCAAAATACTACAAGATATTGCTTATTCCCTGTTTGTGTCACAGAATCCACAACAGCTATCAATATATTGCTGGCAAGAACAACCAGTTACAAAGTTTAGTAAAGGATGTGCACAGAATTGCAGAACTTTGTCGCATTCATGCTGACGATATAGGTGCACAATGTCCACAGCATGTATCCACCAGATGGATATATGACTATAATATATGTGTTTTCTTAAGTACGAAAACAAAATCAAGCAATATATAAATGTAGATCACGATAAAATCGTACAATTGAAAGATTGTTTAGCTGTTCTTAAAAAGCTAATCTTAGTATTCGAATCGGATAAGGCATTGTTGGCAAATTGTTACATTTGGCTTCGTAAAGCCATATCAACTCTCAATCTTTTGACATCTAATTTGCATAATGCATTCGGATCCATCTTGGCATCTTCATTGGATAGCTATACCTTGGACTCTGACTTTGGTGGGCTAAGTTAGTATGGTTATCTTGGGTACGGCGGCACTGCGTTCCACCTTACCCAATATAACCTTAAATATTTACAAAACCAGTAACGTATATTTTACAACACAAAACGACAACACTCACTTAACCTTAAATATTTACAAAGCCGCCAACCACTTCACCTCACCAACATTTTCGCTAACGACTTCACTAATGAAAAAATAAACGTTCTCACTAACGTTCCCACTAATGTTCTCATTTACAAAAGTATTGCAGCGCTTCCCATTGCTGTGCTTCACATAACAGCTCATAATCTTCTGACTCACTTTCTTCTTCATATAGGTCAAAATCACTGTCATAGTTTATACCTGTAAGTTTTGACAAAGCTAATGAAACACGTTTACCATTTGTATCTATTGCTTTTATATATCTTCCATTATGTTTGTTGTCATAAATGCTTAAACTAACTTTACCCTTTCTCCCTCGTATCTGATAGAATGTATTTTCACGAGGAACGAAGAACAAATTCTTGAACTCATGACCGTTGTAGTTTATTATCTCAATAGTTTTCGTCATTTATATAAAAATAAAATAAAAAATAAAATAAAAAATAAACTTAAAAATTAATGATATCACCACCATCACACGTATGAAAACATCCATTTAAATTTAGGGTAGAAGGTTAGATCTAACCTCATTTCTACCCTCATTTCTACCCTGTTGAATTCATTGCTTTATAACTCTCTTCCTTGGTTTCTTTTTAGTTGCTTTCTTCACGTCTGTCTCCAACTTGACTGTCTTTCTTCTTCGGCCGTAATGATACCAGTTACTTCCACCAGTCAATGGGTCAAATGGTCGTTCATAAGGGTTTCCATACATTCCATAAGGTCCGTATGGATAAACTACTGGTGGAGAAGAAACATTTTCTTTAGTTCCATCGACTCTATTTAAATGCATTGTTTCACCTTTCATCTGGTCATTAAAGTCTTTTGCGTGTTTTGCAAACTCATCGTCCTTTCCTAAAGCATTTTCTGACTCAGTCGCAACCAAATTGGATGCTTTATTTACGAGCCCTATTTTATTTAATCTTAACTTCTTTGCAACCCAGCCTCCAATCTTCCCTTTATTTGCATCTAATGTCTTTGAAACTCTTCCTCCACTCATTTTATTTACTGCGTCATAAGCTCCAAGTGCTTTTGCTCCAAATGCTAATGCTTTTGTTCCCATTGCGCCTAAAGCTGCCCAAGCTACCATTTACACCATATTAAAATCATCTCTCTTCAATATTATCTCATAAAAGTTCTCGTTACTGGAGAAAGTCAATGAAACATAAACATTCTCACGGGCTTCACCCTCACCGCTTTGCGGTCTATCTAACTTCTTTCTTATCTCATCTATTCGCTTCAAAATGTCTGAACAATTGCTAACATCTTCTACAACAGTTATTTCATCATGAACGACCTTTAAGAACAAGCTCATTTAATATGCAATTAAAATCATCTCAATAATGAGTCCATCCTTTCCATCTTTAGGTAGCACAACATCTTTCATTGAAGAAGGTTCGACAAGTCTTATGTTAAACTTACTGACAAAGTTTGTTATACTATAATGCTTCGGCGGCGAATACATGTAGTTTGAAAGACATAATATAGATTCTTCAGCAAATTCACTTATACTGGATTTTATAACAATGTTCTCACGAGACCAAATGCCACCAATTGACAATCTTGTAAGCAATCCTGCTGAACCTTCAACTGTAAACGTCGATGGTAACATTCCACGAAGGTCATCTATTGACATCTTTGAGTCACTGTATTTAAATATTTTCTTAAAGCAATCGTCATTATCTATCCATGCAATAGCTTTGAAGTTTTCATTCGAATATACATCTGCTTCATTAAATGTAAAACCTGACTTCTTTGCAGAGGCGATTTTAAAATCTATTGCATTTGTTTCAAAATTATATGCTATGGTAACTTCTGAAGGTAATGGGTGTCCTTCTGCTATAAGTTGTTCTCTCACTACCATTTGAAGCTTTGTGTTAAAAACTTTCATGTCATCTCCTGTATCTAAGTTCACATACACAGCAACAGGGAAACTATCTTGCTTCTTTGTTTCATCATTATATCTCAAAACATTAAAGTTCTTCAATAATATTGTTCTTCCTGCTGGAATACTTCGAACCTGTCTGATTTCAATAGCTTTCTCACCTCCTACATACTCTACCCAGTGTCTTGGATATTCATAAGTATACTGACTTTCTTGAATTTTGGTAGGTTTCATCATAACGTGTTCATAGTATATCTTTATACTCTTGTCAGTTAGACTCGGTGCTATGTTCTGAATATTTCTGACTTGCATTTTTAATGGAGATAAAATGAAGCATTTAATACATGACGTAGATGAAGACATGAATGAAACTACAGACAAACTTAACTCTTCTCTTATTCTTCCTTTCAGTAAGGACTATGAGTTCTGTTCAAATGGTGTTTATTTCTATTGTGGAAAGATGGGTTCAGGTAAGACATTTAACCTCATTCGTCATATACTCATAACAGAGCGTTTAGGAAACGACTCTTACTATGACCAAATCATTATATCAGCAACTTCAGACTCTATGGATTCAACAGCGAAAACATTTATGTCAAAAGTTCAAGCCTCTGTCGTTAAAGTTTCAGACAGTGAACTCATTGAATTTCTTCAACGTTACATTCGACGTAAGAGGAAATATTATGCCATTGTTGAATTTATACAGTCAGGAATGCAAAAGACTTCAGAAGAGATGGAAAGAATTATTGACAAACACCACTTACGTCAATACTCAGGAGTTTACGATATGAAACGACTGACAAACTACATTCTATCAAAACTTTCAAAATACCCCTTCAAAAAGTATCCTTCAAACACTCTGCTCGTTTGTGACGACTTCGCCGGAAAAGGTTTAGTGTCAAAGCCTGACTCACCATTAGCTAACATCATTACTAAAGTCAGACATTACCATTTAACTGTAGCAATACTTATGCAAACATGGTGTTTTCTTGCTTTAAACATAAAACGTCTCATAACTGACTTCGTTATCTTTCAAGGTTTCTCACGTTATGATATTGAACTCATTTGGAAACAGTCAGGTATAACATTACCTTTTGAAGAAATTTGGGAAGCATATAAGTCTCTCATCTCTCCTCGTTCATACCTTGAGATTCATATCATGACTAATACCATTAAAGTCAAAAATATTCCATGGGAACGACCAACATTGTTTTAAAGTTTAACCTTCAATTGACTGATGGTAAACAAATTCCATGCATCTCTGTCGCCATTTCTGTTAATATTTTTGCTGTCATTCATATCATCCACTTCTCCATCCGTTAACTTTTGAGGATATGCGTTAGAATAGCTGTTCTTAAATGAAGGCTTTTCACCTTTGAGAGCATAAACTCTATAACTTTCTGCATACTTTATGTTTGAACCTCCTGAGCCATCATTGACATCAATTTTTATAGGCTTCCACCCTTTGTTCATGTTCCTGCTTCTTCCCTTGCTCTTTTGTTCAGTAGTTCTACATCTTTATACACAGCTCCTGTCTCAGTGAATTCAACAATATTTTCATTCGTTAGCTTTACATTCAAACCCTTGTCGAGTATATTGTTCATTTCATACATATAAAAGGTTTTTATTCTATATGAAATGAGAAGCAAATCCATCTTAGCTGGTGCCGTTAATGTTCCAATTGAACCAACATCAAATGTTGACTCACGAACGACAAACAATATTGTCATAAAGAACTATAGTTCAGAGTGTTTGAAAGAAAAAGAACCAGAGCTGAAATCCGTGAATTTAAACTCAGCTTCAAACGCTAACGCTACATCAGATGTTAAGTTAGAGTATCCACCACTGGACCAAATTCTTTCAAGAGAAGCCAACGACAACCCTTACACAAATGTTCAAACAAATTCTTCAGATAACGTAGACCATTACCTTCTTCAGTTATACCAAACTATCTTACTCAAAGACGATAAGAAGCTTTTGACAAATCTTATAAGCAAGAACCAAATAATTCTAACAAAGGAGGACCTTGAAAATGTTATCACGAATAACAGGGAAACAATGTGTCATTGACTATCTCGACCCTGAAATCGAATGCTGTGGTCAAACGCCACCATTCATGAAAATAGGTAACATCCGCATCATTGAAACACCAGGAACTACAGGAGTTGAGTTTAAGTATAAATATTCGAACGAGTATACAAAACTTTCAACAGAATATAAACTTTGCTTGAAATATGTTTTAGTAAATTAAAGCAATTTGTAATATCTATCCAAAACTTCTTCAACAGTATCGAACTCATCTTCATAATGCAAACCTAATCTTATTGACTTGGTGCAGTTTTCACTAACACAATATTTTTCTGTTCTCTTGACTGACATAACTAACTCATTTGTTTCATCAAACAGCAACAACCAAAGTTCATGACCTAATACATAACATTCATACTTTATATTTTTAGCTCTGAGTTCTCTTGTAAGCTGTTGCATTTAATATTTTCTAAAAAGTCAACTTCAACAGTCATTCGCACTGGTGCCTTCAGTTCTACAGGCTCTCCTTGAAAGTCAACAAGTCTGAATTGCATGTCTTTCAAATTATGAGGACTAATGCGAACCCATTTACCTAAATGAGTTGCTATGACAGGAACGTTTGGAATGAACATTGAATTTACTTCATAACAGAAAGATTTATACTCTACTGAACCTTTACTATTAACTCCTGAAATGCCTGTGACATTAGCTATTTTAGACTCAATGTATAAACAATTGCCATAACATACGTATGGAACAGATTTCATCTCAATCGTTTTGTCAACACTTTTCAAAGGAAATGTCATATGGTATGCTCCTAAAAGAAGTTGAACTCTATGACTCATTCGTGTTATCTTGAACTCTTTCTTGCTACTGAACTTCAATGTTCCCTCAGAAGAGAGTTCGACATCTATGTTGTCAATAGTTTCTTCATTTATGAGAGTATCTATGACTCCAGCAATTTTATCTATTCTATACTCTGCTCTGTTAGGAAATGTTATAAAACTTTTTTTGTCATCTATTTCAATCTCTATGAAATCTGTTTCATCTGTTATGACAAAAGTTGCGATAGTATTGAAGTCAACAACTCTGAAAGCAAGTGCTTCATTCTGAAGACCTAAGTTTGTTTGTAGCTTTACTGTCCCGTATTCGTTTGGGTCTGTACTTTGCAAATAGAACAACATTTTATTCTCATTAAAATATGACTATTGCTGCATATGCGTATGAAACAAATGAAGCAAGAAGAGCACATGAACTAGTAAACGAAAACTCAACTTTAACCATTGAAGGCAATGATTTAGTCATTGACGATGGAAAAACTAAAAAAGTCATTGATTTCGATACTTTTAACACTTATGACCCATTCATTACAATAAGTAAAGTTCCTATCATAAATGATGGAACGGTGCAATATATAAATTCTACAGTAGATGCCTCATTAGTGAAAGTATTAAATGTTCTCATTGAATTGTTAAAGAGCTTTCGATTTGACGACAACATTAAATGCTTAAAGAATTTAGTCATGAATGAGAAACAAATTCTTGGCGTTGCTGGTAGCAGTAATGATGTACACCTTATGACATTAGAATATTATAACGAACATAAAGATGAACTGAAAGGAGAGAAGGGTGACACCGGACCTCAAGGACCTCAAGGACCACAAGGAATACAAGGAATACAAGGAATACAAGGAATACAAGGACCTCAAGGCGAGAACGGTTTGGATGGTGTAGATGGAAAGGATGGAAAAACTGCTAAATCATGGATATGGAACCTTATAAATACTGGTTTAACAGCTGCTTCATATGGAGTTCTTCAATACCAAATCGGAAAGATATGGGCGGTACTTGGTGAAGAAGTTTTAAATGACGTTAAAAATGCTTTGAACTTCATTTCAAATGGTTCGGATACTATTAAAACTTTATCTGGTTGGATGCAAGAAACAAGGAGTCAAATAGATACTGTAAGACGTATAGCAAACAATGCACGTACGGGATTGGATACTTTACGACAAGCACAAAATACACTAAAGGAAGCAAATGATATTCTTGGCTCAGTATCAGACATGCATGAAGATTGGCTTAAAGGTATTGACAAATCTTTAAAAAAATCACAGTCAGTCTATTGCTGACTACAAGAAAAGTATAGATTTTTTACATAGTGCTATGGACGTACATGATGGAAGCATAAGGAACTTACTTAATGCTAACAATAACTTACCAGGAACTATTAAAGCATTTATAAAGTCCTTTGTAAAACCCGGTGCTCTAACATTTAGGTCTTTGAGAGCAAGAGCATTGAAGTCAAGAGATGCAGAAACTCCAACAGAACCTACAGAAGGAACTGAAACAACAGAAACTCCAAAAGAACCACCAAAACCAACAGCTAATGAAATATTGTTCGAATATTTTCCAAGGTACTCTGTTCTCATTGCATACATTCAAGAAATACTTAAGAAAGCAGACTTGACTTTAGGAGATGATGAAAGTTCTGTATATCTTTCGTTCCAGTTTCAAATAGCAGAACTTTTGAGACAGATATGCTTAATGTATGACAACATCTCTGATTTCACAAGATATGATGACGACCATGACCCCGAACACGGTGAAGAAGAAGTTTTACAAACATCCATTAAGACAGGAAAGGTTTTAACACAAAGTCTCATTATTGACACCAAAGATGGCGAAGTGGACGTTCTTCAAGAGCTGAAGAAAAATACTTCTTCGGGAGGTGGTGGTAGGCATGAACTTGAAATAAATGAGATAGAAGAGAAATTAGCCGAAAAAGCAGATAAAGAACATAAACACAATATCTCCGATATAAATGAACTTCAAGCTACATTAAATAGTAAAGCAGATAAAAACCATGTTCATTATATAAGTTCAGATGAACAGATTATAACGGACTACCATGGATATTTAACACAGGATGAAAAAGTGAAGACGGAAGATGTTAATGAAAGAAGATATAAATACATTCGTGCTAAAGGTTATGACATAAGCTGTACTGTACATTATGACACAGGTAAAGCACAAGAAACATTTAGTTATAACGATGAAATTTATGCCTCTACTTTCAATGTTAACGGTGTATTAGTTGAACCAAAATTTACTTTGAGAGTTAAGGCAAAAATAACTTTTGAAGATGCTATTAAAAGTAAAGCCAGCAAAGATGAACTTGAAGCAATGAACAAAGTTTTGAAATCTCATAAACACAACATCTCCGATATAAATGAACTACCAGCAATGTTAGATAAGAAAGCAGACAAGAACCATACACATGAATCCTTCACTACTGTTAGAGCAGACGATGTAATATTGAACTTTGACCTTGGTTCAAGTGCACCATTAGAAAATCCAAGTACAAGCGTAAAAGATACTCTTAACAATTTAGATAAGAGTTGCAGGAATATTGAAAGTCATGCCAGAAACTTTGAAGCACATGAACTACCAACAATGTTAGATAAGAAAGCAGACAAAACTTATGTGGATGCAGAACTAACAAAGAAATTTTCGAAACCAGATACAATGACATTTACAACAGAAATTATAAATGGTGAACCAGCAACTCCATTTGAATTTGTTAGAGGTCTTCAACCAGATACTTTTGAATTTTTCTTGGATAATTCTATTGAACTAACATTACATTATAAAAGTGGAACAAATGCAACATTTCATCCGGGAGATACATTCCAAATGGTATTTAATGACATAAGTTCTTTAGAATATGTTTATAGAGTTATGAGCATATATGATTTAATATATCCTATAGGAGCTGTTTATACGTCTATGAATCCAATAAATCCAAACACTTTATTTGGTGGTAGATGGTATGAAATAGTTGACAGTTTTCCATTCTACACTAATACGCAGTCAATGAAGATGGGAGGTTCAAAGAAAATAGGTATTGAAAACCTTCCTTCACATATGCATAGGTTCAGTGGAAGAACATCTGTGGAAGGAAACCATTCACATTCAATAACAAAAAGAGGTTATACAAATCTTGCAGCGGGTTCGGATAGACAGGGAATGCATAGATATGATATCACAACTGACCCAGTAGATTCAAGCACAGGTATTTTCTGTGGAACCGCAGGAAATCATACACATGTTGTAGCTGGTATTACAGACCCAGCAGGTAATGGAAAAGATTATATGCCTCCTTATATAACAATACACGCTTGGATACGAGTTGGTTAAAATCTTTAACTTTACATAAATGAGCTTGAAAGAAGTATTCGAACAACATCCATGGAGGTCATTTAAAAAATTCAATGAAGCTGCAAAGAGTTGGGGATTTACTAACAGAGCTGAAGTGAAAAGGTTCTTTGACAAAAATGTTGTACATCAAACAAAAATAAACCCTTACGACTACTTTTTACCAATTTACTCCAACGCTCCTGACGCATACCAATTTGACACTCTCGTTCAAAGCAGAAAAGGAGGACATAAACCATTCCTCATCTTCATAAATGTTAACACTCGCAAAGCTTTTGCGTATATAATGAGAAATAAAGGAACTCGTGAAGTGTTAAGAGTTTTACAAAAGTTTGTAGCAGAACATAACCCAAGTACTTTAACATCAGACCAAGACAGTGCATACCTCAGCAACGAAATCACAGAATTTCTCATTAAGCATAACATAACTCACTACACTACTGAAGACCATAACCATAACATACTCGGCATCATAAACCGCTTCATAAGAACGCTTAGAGATTTAAATCAAGAGCGAGACTTTACCGAAGAAACAATGAAACATTTTCTCGAAGTATATAATTCCTCAACACATTCTACAACAGGACATACACCAAATTCAATGACACAACAACAAGAAGAAAAGTATATACAAAAGAAACGAAGCCAAACACAAAATATCAGAAATTCAACACAATTTACCCTCATTCCTGGTACAAAAGTTCGTGTAGTTCTTGACGACAAACCGTTGACAAAGAAACGTTTAAGGTTAAGTAGAAACTATTATATCGTAGACTCTACGCAAGGTAATGGATATCTTATAAAAGCTGCTGACGACTCCATAGCATTTTACCCTCGTCATAAATTAGTCGAAAGTAGTAATGGCAAACTTGCTGAAACCATTGACGAAGCAAAGCGAGGAGTGGTTATTGAAATACTTGACTATAACATAAACGATGACACTTATAAAGTAAGATATGAAGGAGGTGTTGAAGATGTTATACCATCTAAGAACTTGAGAGAGTCAAAGCCAACACATCTGGGACCATTAGAGCGGGAGTACTGGAAAGACAAAAACATGCCAGAAAGAATAAGAAAATTCTTCTAAACTTTTTCGTTGGATGTAAATCAGACATGAATGAGAACAGTCATGATATCATTAATGGTACCATTTATTTTAACATAAAGACGCAAAGCGGCGAGGACGAAGTCCATGACCAAAAATAATGTTTAGGGTAGATGGTTAGATCTAACCTCATTTCTACCCTCATTTCTACCCTCATTTCTACCCTCTTGAATTTTCATGAATTTTCCCGAAATAAAAAATAAAGTTAGTTTTATTTTATTTATTTTGTATTTTTTGTATGTAAAGACATGATTTCAGGGATTTTTTTGACGAAGTGTCAACCTTCACTTCGTCAAAAAATAACAGTTATCTAATGAAAAAGTGTCATTTTTTTGTATTTTTTTGTATGTAAGATATGATTTCAGGGATTTTTTTGACGAAGTGTCAACCTTCACTTCGTCAAAAAATAACAGTTATCTAATGAAAAAGTGTCATTTTTTTGTATTTTTTTGTATTTGACGAGAATGTCGGGTAGATGGTTAGATCTCACCTGTTTTTTCACCTCTTTTCTAACATGGTCTAAAACTCTCGAAAATCATGAAATTTACACCAAAAATATAATTTAGGGTAGATGGTTAGATCTAACCTGTTTTCTCACCTGTTTTCTAACCTCTTGAATTTTCATGACTTCTTCGTAAATGTTTTGTCATGATTTCATCGTAATGAGTGTAAAGGACCCAAAAATATAATTTAGGGTAGATGGTTAGATCTAACCTGTTTTCTAACCTCATTTCTACCCTCTTGAATTTGTCATGACTTCTTCGTAAATGTTTTGTCAAGACTTCTTCGTAATGAGTGTAAAGGACCCAAAAATAAAGTTTAGGTGAAGAGGTGAGATCTCACCTGTTTTTTCACCTCTTTTTTCACCTCTTGAATTTTCATGAATTTTCCCGAAATAAAAAATAAAGTTAGTTTTATTTTTTTTATTTTTTTTATTTTGTATAAAAGACATGATTTCAACAATCGGCACAACAACAATTCAAACAACAGCACCAAACTCGTTAGTCATGAATCCAACATCTATGTTAGTAGAAATGAAAAGCTTCATTCCTTCTTCATATACTTTTGAAACAGAAATCCAGAAGATAAAGCAAGAACTTTTAACAAGTAATTTAGACTGTAGTGCGAAAGATGAAACAAATGAACAGTATCTTTATGAAATGCAGGACATTATTGACCATTTACCCAAACTACCTGAAATCCAACAACAAAAACTCACTATTCCTGAATTCGATGAAATAGAAGTCAAAGCAACTGACTCAGTAGAAATAAAGAAGTTCATACGAAAGGTAAACTATGAGTTTCTAGGATTTCATTGCAACCATAAGGTTATGGACAAAGATTGCGACATGGTATATAAGAACATCTCTGACATATATAAATCTGAAGAATTTAAGACCTACGACAACTTTGTTTCGTTAGTTGCTGAATGTGTATGGCAGATAAGAGATAAAGATAGAAGAGGTAAGGTATGGAACAAACAAATAAGACCCGCTATGTTTGAGATGAAGAGAGCAATTGACGCTTTAGTTGTTTTAGCTGGTTTTATTTCAATGTATAACGCAAAAATGAACCCGCAATGTTCTAAATGTAAAGCAGCAATGAGGAGATATAACTACTCCGTCAAAGAGATAGAACGTATGAGAAACGACTATGCAGACTTAAAGAAAGAAGCAGAAAAACCAGCAGAAGATAAAATGGACATGTTAGCATTTCTGAACAAAAACTATCCAACTGCTGACGATTTCCTATTATCTGATGTCAAGAAGAAATATAAAGAAACTTTCGGCATTGTTAAAACATTCGATGTACTAAAAGAAGAAATAGAAGCTACAAAACTGTTTAAAGTCTCACGAATTCATAACGTTTACCATGTAAAACGCTTATAAAATAACTGGGGTAGAAAAGAGGGTAGAAATGAGGTTAGATCTAACCTTCTACCCTAAACATTATTTTTGCTGAATTCAGCAACAAAATTCTGAGTAAAATAATTTTTAGGGCATGTGTCAAACCGTTGAGTTTTCACAAAATTTAAAAAATAACGTTTACCATGTAAAACGCTTATAAAATAACTGGGGTAGAAAAGAGGGTAGAAATGAGGTTAGATCTAACCATCTACCCTAAAATATATTTTTGCTGAATTCAGCAACAAAAATCGTGAATTTCCTTAAGACAGAAAAAATAAAGTTAGTTTTATTTTTATTTATTTTTTTATTTTGTATGTAAAGACATATATGTCAAACATTGAGTTTGAAACAGTTAGAAAGATAGACAATGACACCAAATTGGTTAGAATAGGTGATTTAAACGTAAGATACTCAAAGAAATACAACAAATATTCTTTGTCAGACATTATATTTCCATCTGGAAAGAAAACACACGACTGGGTTAGAAATGCTTCAACTCAGAAAATTTTGACAAGAAATCCTGAGCTTATGATATCAGTAAGATTCTATGGAACTACAGCATATCTCATCGACAAAAGTCTTATACCAATAGTTTTGTTATGGATTGACCCAGTTGTTGGATATAACTTCATAACTTATGGTTCATTCGATACGGAACGTTGCAGTGAAGGCTTACTTTACATCGTTCAGAAACCGAAGGACTTCAACACAAAAAGATATAAGATAGGAAACATATAATATAACTCAAAGATATGACAGTACAGTCAATAGAGTCAAGGTTGTGTTCGTTAATGATATGAGAGCCGCAGAAACAGAACTACTCGAAAAGTTTGAGAAAATGTATGGTGCTCCCATAAAAGGTAAAGAAACGTTTGAAGTAGATGAGATAGATAAAGCTATAAAATTATTTGACGAAGTTGCTGAAAAATACATGTAAAGCGTTTATTTTTGGTCTTTTGTGAAAGATAGAAAAAATAACGCTAATTTTATTTTTATTTATTTTTTTATTTTGTATGTAAAGACAGATATGTCAACAACAGAGAACACAACAACTGCTATCGTTCATGAAGCCATAAATGAAGAATACGAATACATACAGTATAACAAACAATTGAGACTCATTCGTTCAGTCAAAGATGACATGTACCAAATGCAAAGTATAATGAATGCTCTTCTTTCTACAAAGCAAGCATATCATTGGTTTGAAAACCAACAGGCAAAAGAACTTTTAGAAGAATTTCCTCATATGATTGCTTCCCTCGGAAAACCGAGGGAAGAGATTCCGTACGAAAATCGCAAGAATTTGGCACCTGGTTTGAAAGGTTATTATGTTCATAGACTTTTGTAAATGCTGTAGCAATGTGGGCTTCACCTCGTTATGCTTGTTATATTTTCATGATGTTAGATGAACTATATAAAGCAGAACGTGGAGAGATGGAAAAGAAACTTCAAGCAAAAGATGAAGTCATTGAATCCAAAGACAAAAGCATACAGAAAAGAATACCACGTTCAGTACCAAAAGGAAAGGAAAAGAGTTATAAGTATATGATTTACGCTGAAGAGTTGGAGAAAGAAGAAGATAGAGATATGGTTATGTTGCATTTAGTCAGAAGAAACAACAAAAGCTTTTACGACCTTGCTAAGATTTACAAATCTGACAGAAACTGGTTCTATCGTGAAAACTTACCGATTTCAATGACACCGAATGAGCAAATAAAGGAAATTGTCAAAAATACTCTTCCTCAAACACACTATGACATCAAAGGTTGCACAATACTTACATTCAAAGAAGACTTACCATTACTGAAGGAAAAGATAACAGAATATTTCGACAACTTCAAAGAGGAAGAATAAAAAAATCTAAGCTAATTTTATTTTTTTATAAAATTTTATCTCATATGAAAGAACATGAATTTAGAATATTCGGAACTCATGACAGAAGAAGAGAACGAACAACATGTAAAAGATTATGCAAAATTTCTGAAGACATACAAAGCATTTAAACAATATCTAAATGCTTCTAAAGATTATGCAAAATTTCTGAAGGTATATAAAGCTTATGAAAAAGCGTATGAAAAGTTTATACATTGGGGAATTGTTGTAAAATATCCATATGAAGACTAACCAAAAATATATTTTGCTTAAATAGCTTCAGGGTCTATTTCTTCAACCATTTCACTTCCTTCGTCAATGTCAATAGAAGCTTCTTCAACCTTTGGTAAGAATTTCTGTATAACATCTTTGTTCGTTATTGTCTTCAGAGATGAAGGATAATATTTCACATTTGTTTCACCCTTCTTATATTCTTTCTGTTCGGAAAGATTTAAAGCAATACTGAAGAAGTCAATGTTAGAGTTCTTTATGACAGTATATGTGTATCTTTGACATTGACGAAGAAACTCTTTTGTTTCAAAACTACTGCTAACTCTTGTGAAGTATAACGTTTGCGGTCAATGACGATAGCTAATGGTCTGACATACTGACCAAACTTAGATTCTTTCACAAACTTCTTGTTAAAGATAACATTAACGTTTGAAGCACCATTGAACTCATTCTTGATGGCAGTAGCGAGAGCATTGTATGAAAAGAACTTGCAATCTTGCATGTGTTTCATTAAAATAAAAATATTAAATTATTTTGAAAAATAACTTAAAAAAATCTAATCTAATTTTTTCAAAAAATATTTTTTTATTTCCTACTAAAGATGTATCGGAAGTTGTCTAAGTTAGAACACTCGGAAATAAAACAACTTCTTACAGAAGCTAATATAGATGTTGCAAAGCATTACGCAACAAACAAAAAGGCACTCGCTGACATCCTCAATGACTATAATGGTGCAATAAGTTATGATAGAATTCATGAGTTCATAAAGCCGCAACGCGGCGAGGACGAAGTTCATGCAATAGCATTTCCTTTAAATGACATTGCTATTGACTTATATCATAGACGTTCAGTACCTCATGAAGTAAGGCGTGAGATGTTTGACATAACAAATGCGAACGTTGGTGAAACAAGAAGAAGAGACGACACACTGAAACAACAGAGAAGAGAGATGTTTAAAAGTGCTATAGAACAAGTTCGCAAAGCTAACGATGTCATTCGTTCCATTGACGACAAACCAAAAGAAGGTGAGAGATGGTTAAAGAAAGATGAAGAGAATAGGAAGAGAATGTGAAGTCAGGCAATAGACTCATTGACTTTAACATCGAAGCTTTAGATGAACCAAACAGAGACTACTTACACAAACATTTCGGTAAGGTTTTCATGAGACTCTTAGAGAAGATTAAAATAAACTCCCAACAAAGATGGATGGTATGTTATAAACTTGGTGGAAAGTATGAATGTTCTACGTTAAACCTCAATAATATTGGAACATTACTACATCAGCTCTTGAAGGAGAACTTTATATCAGAGATAGAAGCAAATGCTGCAGGTATTGTTGAAATGCACTATGACTTCTTCTTGACAAACATAAAGAATCTTACCGAAATAAAGATGTATGATTTAACAGAATATGAAGGCTTAACGATGTCAGATGTAAAGAAAGGAAAGCCACAGAAGCGACCATATAGAGATGAAAGCACACTGACAAATGACCAGAAAGCCATTTTGGAAGCTCTTAAGCAAACAGGAAACCCAGCACTTATAGAAAGCTTTTGGAAAGATAATGGTGAAAAGAAGTTTTATAAGAAGAGAAGCGGTCAGTTCTGGAAGTATCTTTGCACATTACCTATAAATCTTGAACGCTACCAAATCTTCAATGAACTGAACAAAAGAACTGCACACTTATGACAGAAGACAATTGTTTCGTTTATGCTTGCATTCAGGCTGGAGTAGATGAAGAAACTATTGACCACATGAGAGAAGTCATTCGTGTTAGAGACTTTCCTCAAAGTAAAGTACAAGAAATTTCTGACGCAACAAGTATAGCATTTAATGTTACCATTGGTTATTTCAATGACTCAAGACATAATGAAATAAAGAGATATATACCAAAAGAATGTGAAACTGTTCGAACTATTGACTTACTTCTTGTTGAAGACCACTACATGCTAAACGAAAGATTACCAATGACAACATATTTCATTCGCAACTATATAGAAATCTTGAAGGAGTGTGGTGGAATGAACATTGAGAAACAAATGAAGATTTATACAAAGAGAGATGGTAAATACATTGTTCGCATGGATAGAACAACGCCGTTATGGGATGTTATGAAAACATTGTGGGAGTGCAAATATTTTGAACCTATTTCTTATGGAGAACTTTTCACATATACGACTGACTTATATAAACAGAACCTTGCACCATTTAAAGATTTGACATATGCTCCAAAGTATTGTGTACAACTGAAGAAGAAAGCCGAGTCAAAAGAAGTAAATAAAAATAAGTGCAAGTTCATTCCTGAGCATGTTTTCTTTGCTGACTTTGAGTGCAGTACCGATGGCTTTCATAAAGCTTTTAACATCTGTTATGACAGTGAAGATGGTTCAGTGAGTGAAAGCATATGGGGTCAGAACTGTGCAACAGAATTTTTGGAACGACTTCCTGACAAGAGTTTAATATATTTCCATAACCTCAGTTATGATATAAACTTCATCTTAAGACACATGACAGAAGTGAAAGGAACTCCCATCATTAAAGGTTCACGAACAATGCAAATAACTGGTTTATATAAAGGACGGGCAATTATTATAAAAGACTCTTACAGTGTTATAAATAAGAAGCTTAAACTATTTCCTGCTATGTTTAACTTACAAACAGGACCGAAAGAAGTATTTCCATATAACTACTACAGCAGTACTTTGTTAGCAAATGACAACAGAACTGGTGTCATTTCTGAAGCTTGTAAGTTTATCCGGGATGCAGATACATTCATGAAAAACATAGATTCCATCAAAGGTTGCAGAATAGATGAGAACCACTTCGACTTAGAAAAATATAGCACGTTTTATTGCAAACAAGATGTAAGAATTTTAAGAGAAGGTTTTGTTAAGTTCCGCAATGACTTATTGAAAGAATTTGATTTAAACGTTTATGACTACGTTAGTATTTGTTCAATTGCTAACAAATTATTTGAGAACAGAGTGTACTTCCCGAATGGAAATCTTTATGACCTCTCAAATAAACCAAGAGAATTTATTTCACGCTGTATTCAAGGTGGAAGATGTATGTTGTCAGATAACATGAAACAAAAGAGCGAAAAGAAACTCATTGCTGACTTCGACGCTGTTTCATTATATCCATCAGCTATAGCAAGACTTTATACTTTAGAAGGAATTCCAAAGGTTATGAAGGATGAGATGCTAAGCACAGAGTATCTCATGAGACATTTATTCGATGACGACCAAAAGGAACCCATTGGTGAAAAGTTTATGTCTGGCTTCTTTGTTCTCATTAAGATAACAGAGATTGGAATACATAGACACTTTCCTTTAATAGTTTGTGACCCTGAACTAAATCCAGAACTTAACGTTCCCAGAAGTTCAAACACTTGCTGTTTAATGTATGTTGACCATATAACATTACAAGACCTCATAAAATATCAAGGTGTCAAATGTGAAGTGTTGCAAGGATACTATTACGATGGAAACAGAGATATTAGAATAAGAGATGAAGTAAAGAAGTTGTTTGAGTTAAGGTTAAAGTATAAGAAAGAAGGAAATCCTTTGCAAGAAAATATAAAGCTCATTCTGAACAGTATTTATGGCAAAACTATTCTATCTCCTATTGAGTCAAAAATAACCATAGTAGATGACAAAGATGCTATAAGATATGCCATCAGAAACTACAACCATATAGTGAAGTTCGAAGGTTTGGATGGTTCAGATAAAACTATTTTCAAGCTAACGAAAAGCATTTGCAGACACTTTAACTTCTGTCCACTTGGTGTTAACATTCTATCAATGTCGAAGAGAATAATGTGTGAAGTATTCTGTACTGCTGAAGACTTAGGAATGGACATCTTTTATAGCGATACGACAGTATGCATCTCTACAATGAAGATATCCCTCGTTTAGCTGAAGAGTTTGAGAAACGTTATGGAAGAGTTCTCATTGGTAAAAACCTTGGTCAGTTTCATAGTGACTTCGCAGAAATAACACCTGGAAAACAAAGTTTAGCATACAAGTCAATATTTTGTGGAAAGAAGACTTACATAGACTTACTCACGAATGATTTAAATGAAGTTGCATTTCACTGCAGAATGAAAGGCGTGAAGCAAGATGTTATTGCTTTAACCGCTAATGAAATGTTTCCTGACTCTGTTCAGTGTTTCTATGATGAAGATAAAGGTTTAATGGTTCCGCAAGGAAAATTTGACAAAGACTCTGAGTTCAGTGTTATGAAGTTATATAAAGCACTTTATGACGGTCAAGAGATTGGATTTGACTTATGTAAGTCTTCTAGTCCTTGCTTTGCTGAAAAGTTTAACTTCTCAATAACGACTAAAACAAGCTTTATTCGTAAGTTGAAGTTCTGAGGTCATTTATTTTTGTCAGCAATGAGGTCATGAATGAGGTCATGAATGAGGTCATTTATTTTTGTCAGAAATGAGGTCATTCGTGATAAAAATAAAGCTAGCGTAGATTTTACAATACTGCGATGGTAGAGTTTAAGAGTTGTGCTTCAATGTAGAGACAGTCCTTATGGTCTGGAGGTAAGAACACTGGGCAGTTATGGTCATGAGTGGAGAACATGTCTATCCAAAACTCACGATTGAAGCCAGTTAATTTATAGTATTTAGGGTTAGGAAGTGGTGAAGTTCTTGTATGACCAATGAACTCATTTTCAACTCCCTTACTTAAGTTTGAATATAATATAGCTTGCTTTCTATCCCAAATGCCAGGTGTTACAATCTTTGAAAATTCATTTTTCCTCGGAAGCATTGCATCATAATTGAAAACATTCTTGAAATCATCACTTGGTTCAGAGATTTGAAATCTTATACGTAATGGATTTTCTTTCTCTTTAGCTACTTCATTGAATGGTGAATATATAACAAACTGACAGTCATGTGTTCCATCTTCATTTTCATTAAATTCATAATGAAAGTCTATAAGTTGTGGCTGACTACCTTCTTCTTTCAGTTGTGCAAAAAACTCACGTAAAGGCTGTAAAGTTTGTACTTCAATGTTGAACTTTTTCTCGAACATTTCATTGAAGGAAATCATACATTCTTGTAAAGTTGTATCGTCTTTAAAGTATTTGTATATGTGAATGTTTTGGGCACTTAAAGACTGTTCGTCATTTTCTATCTCGACTTGAAGTATAAAGTCAACCTTTCTGAAAGCACGTGTTATATACATAGATGTTATGCCAATGTACTTCTCTTCATTTATGTTCACAATCCAGTCTGTTGGAAACTTAAACGTTACTCTGTTCCCCTTTATTTTGACGTCAGGGTTTTCACTACTGAACGCAACAGATAAAGGTATTTGTCTATACATTTAGTTCGGATAAAAATAAACCATTTACTCTTTCTTTGCTTCAGCTTCTTTAGCTTTTTGTTCTTCCTTTGCTTTTGCTTCTTCTCTAGCTTTCTTCGCCAGCAAACGTGGGTTCTTTTGTCTTCCAGCAGCTAATGCAGCAAGTTGTTTTTCACTAAGTTTTCTCTTTGGTCTCTCTGGCTTTTGTTCTTGTTTTTGTTCCTTCAGTTCGGATAAAATTTGCTCGCGAATTTCTTTCTTCAATGCTTCAACATCTATGACCCCTTGGGTCTTGTCCATATGACTTGTCTGAGTCATTTGACTGCAGATAAAAAACAAAATTAAAACTTTAACCGATGTAAAATGAGCTTGTCAAAATCAGAGCGAGAGTCTATTATATTAAATGACGCAAGAGGAATACAACATCCTTTCTATTATGTAAGTCAGAGTAAAGATGGTAAAATATACGTAAGAAAAAGAAAGGTTCCATTAGCGAATGCAGAGAGCGACAACATTAAGGTGCATGGCAAGGGCGAAGCCCACGAAGCCCATATAAAACCTTCTGTTCAAACTGAGCCACCAAAAGAACCAGAAGAAAAGAAGCCAGATGTACTTTCAATAACGAACCAAGAGCTTATTGCAAAGTTTGTGAATTTCATTGAAAAACAAACCGAGTCAAAGAACCCTGACCCACCAGTGAAAGAAGTTGAGACAAAAGAGAATGTACAGTTCATTGAAAATGTCAAGAAACAACTTCCACCACGAATGCCAAGAAGAAGAGTGAGAATAATGAAGTAAATAGATATTTTTATCCGAAGTAAATACATGCAGAACGAACAGTTAAACGAATTTACTCCAGCAGAGCATATTCATCAGATTCGCTCATATTTCGATATCATAGACAATGCAGTTCAAATTGGTGACACTAATAGAAAATATTCTGACGCAAAGATTCCATCACAACCTGGAACTGCTAAAGATAACACATGGGTAACATTCAATCTCTCACCTCCTGGTGAAAATATGTTGGACCTTTACAATACATTCATTACGTATAAAATGGAAGGTCAATTTATTGTAGATAAAGAAATTGGTTCAGGTTCCAATAAAACAAACCCACCAGGATTTTGGATTGGTTTCGATGACGCTTTCTATGCAGTTGCTGGATATCAAATCCTTGCAAATGGTCGTATCGTATATTCTCAAGACAACGCAAGAGAAGAAGCATATATAACTTCAAACTCACAAACTACCGAACAAATAAAGAAAGTAGATGTTTTCTCAAAGACTCGACATGAAGATGTATGGAGTCATTCGGGAACATGCAGAACAGGACAAATTGTTAGTGGTCCAATTACAGCAGGAAAATCATTTGATTTTAAGCTTCGTTTAAGAATTCCTGTTAGAAGATTCCTTCCATTAGAAGCTATTCGATTTATTCCTGCATTTGCTGGTAACATTCAGCTTAAAGTAAAGTTCAGTAGCGACGCCTTACAATGCACATCTATATCTGTAAATGATATCATTGCTTTCAATCCAACTCTTAAAGTTGCATTTGCTTCAGATTCAAATCCACCGACAAATAAATTTGTTCCATGGAATGAACCATTCACTATGATAACGAAGGCAGTAGAAGCTAGTGGAACAGTTACTATTACAACTGTAAACCAGCAACTATTTCGAACAAAGATGGATTTTAATGAATGTTTCATTCATCCAAAGTCATTCTCTTTAGACCCTAACATTTATACAGAACTTGTAGAACATTATACAAACGAGGCTTTATGTTTTCCTGTTAAAGTTATGGATTGGATTCCTATGGACGGTTCATTCTCAAAGAATACAGATAGTTCAAGTGCAACATTTACAGCAGCTTATACGCCTATTAATGTTAAAAGTATTTGGGCACTATTTAGAAAGAAAGACAACTATTATGTTAATTTTGAGAACCCTAAGTTTAAATATCTTCAGCTTTCCATGGGAGCTTATGGAAATATGCCTGCAGAACCTGAAAAATCATATGGACCTGTATTTTATGAAATGGTTGCGAACGCTTGCAATACAAACAATGATATGATTGGATTTAATGAAGATGTTATGAGGTCATTGGTGGATGATGGTAGTGTGGAACATAAATGGGATAGCTATGACAACACACATTTCTTATGTGGTTTTCCAACAGAAGTGGACTTTTGCTTCCAGCAAGGTCAAACATCTACTGCTCCAATAACATACAAATTGTCTGTTAAAGGACCTATTGAACTAGCAACTGAAAACGTACCAAAGCCACTTATTGGATTTATGAGGGATTGTTGCTTTGCAATACAAGTAAGACAGTCAGGCATACCAATAATAAGATTAGATGACTATAACTTAGCTGCGGACGACAGTGAGGAATAAAGGATGAACGTTTATTTTTAAAGCTTATAAATGAGTTCTTCATCAAGCTCTCGTGAACCTTCACCATCTATGAAACAAACTTTACCAAACGATTATGGAGCACCTATTGAATATTTCTTACGAGCTGCACAATGGCAAAGAGCAGTCTCACCAAGGTTAGGTGTTCCACCAGCTCCTGTCAAAAATAGCATTTGGTCAAGTCCTTATATAAGATATGGTCTCCCACTAGGTTTGCTAGCTACAGCAGGAGCAGTTATGATGTTGAAAAGAAATAAAGCAAATGTTGTAAATAATACTGAAGTAGCTGAAGTTAAACAAACTCCGACACCATCGCCAAAACCAGCGCCTTCACAAGCAAAACCTTCAATGACTCCTGAACCTATGGAAGTACAAACTCCTGTTCAAAAGTCAACTCCAAAACCGACTCCAACATTTAAACCAGAACCTACACCACAAATAAATCGTAAAACTCCTGCGTTTCCTTACTGAAAAAATAACGTTATTTTTATTTAATATTAAAATTTTTATTTGATTGAAATGACGACTAAAGTCACTGAAGCAATGAAACAAAAGTTTTTGGTAGAATACATTAAATCAGGAACTATTCCAGAAGGTTTTTACATTCATACTATGAAGGATGGTAGAGTTCAGTTTAGAAAGATAAAGCAACCATTAGATAAAGAAGGTATATTAAGGAAGATTAAACTTCATGAGGACAACATTGCTGAACTTAGGAAGAAGTTAGAAGAGTTGGAGAAAGGAAGAGAGTTATAAAGCAATGAATTCAACAGGGTAGAAATGAGGGTAGAAATGA